GTGTGTGCGGGCATTTGAACATCGATGTGCATGAGTGATCTGAGACGCGCACTCACACACAGACAGACAGACAGACACACAGACACACACAGACACACCCAATCACACGCACAATCACACACAATCACACACAGACATACACAGACACACAGACACACACACACACACACACACACACACACACAGACACACACACACAACCACCACCACCCTCCCCCGCGTCGCACCTGGGCTTCGCCCGCGTCGCTGCTGGACTCTGCGGTGGCCTGGTAGAAGCGAATGAGGTCGGTGGCCAGCGCCCACCGGCCCTCGCTCAGACACAACCGCAGCAGGTCGAGCGTTTGCTGGCGTGTCGTCGCCGCGTCCTGTAGCGCCTGCACCACCATCAGATACGACGCGCCCGTCTCCAGCCGTCGCGTGCGCACACACGCCTGGCAAAGGGGTGAGGGGGAGAGGAGTTGTGGAGGGGAGAGACAAACAGGAAGGACGCGGGGAAGAGTGGCAGTGATGGTGAGCGTGTGTGGGAGACGCGCGCACAAGTGATGCGTGCTGGATAAGGATTGATGTTTACGTGAGCACAAGCAAAACAACCAGCAAAGACTGGGACATGCAGCTCGGATGCATTTGTACCGAATTAGCACCATGGTGATCAGCAGCACCACCACCACGGCAACGACAGTGCCGCCTGCGCGTACCTCGAACGATGCTTTGGGGCTGCCCACACACTCAAAGAGGTAGTCCCACTTGGCCATCTCTGTCTTGCGCGCGCAGTGCACAACAATGTCCAGCCACTGGTCGTACTGCTGGATAAATTCAATCACCGTCGGCAGCAGCGCCTCTGTCACGATTTGCAAGGAGTAGCGAGTGGAGTTGGGATGGACAAACACGTCAATGTGCGTGCGTGTGTGCATGTGTGTGTACGTGTGTGTATATGTGCTTTTGGGTGATGCATTGGGCTACGTGGCGTTTTGGGGGTTGTGTGTGTGTGTGCGCGCGCGCGAGGTGCTTGCGAAACGGCCACAAATACACCCCACACAGACAGACAGACAGACAGGCGCGCACACACACAACACACACGCTAACACACATATAGACACACACACACACACACACACACACACATACACACACATATCCCATCCTACGACGGTACCTTGCCGGTTCGGATCGGCTGCCTCGTCCTCAAGAACATGATGCAACATGAGCTCGAGCAAGTGCGGGAAATACGGCAAATCCGTGAGCGTGTCCGCAATCATCTTCGCAGGCCGTGACAGCCCGCGTCGCAGCAGCTGGTATTTGTGTGTGTGTGTGTGTGTGTGTGTGTGTGTGTGTGTGTGTGTGTGTGTGTGTGTGTGAATTATTTGTTTTTCTGAGGTGGGAAGGTACAAGCAGCAGAGAGGACGCATGAATTCAGACACACACTCTCATACACAAGGGCACACACACACACACACACACTCACTCATACACAAGCACACACGCACATGCACGAAACCCAACACGCAAGACAGACAGCCACCCAACCACCGACCCAAATCAATCTACCAGCACAGCCGCACCTGCCGCAGAATCGGGTGCATGTTGAGCTGCGTCTTGCGGTGGACGGCGTTGCACGTGACCAGCCGGCCCGCGGGCGTGCGCACCTGGTACGCATCCACAGACGCGCCGATGACAACGGCCTCGCGGAAGAGGAGGGTGAGCGGGCATGTGTCGAGCGGGAAGGTGAGCATGATGCGGCGGCTTGCACCAAGGTCCGTTCGCTCAAGCGGGAACCACACCTGTAATCATTGGGCGGTGGGAAATGGGAGAAGCACAAGGCGAACGTGTGTGTTGACGGGTGCAAATTAACAAAGGAGTGCAAGCAGAGCGCACGCACACACACGCACACACACACACACACAAACAAACAAGCAAGCAAGCAAGCAAGCAAGCAAGCAAGCAAGCAAGCAAGCAAGCAAGCAAGCAAGCAAGCAAGCAAGCAAGCAAGCAAGCAAGCAAGCAAGCAAGCAAGCAAGCAAGCAAGCAAGCAAGCAAGCAAGCAAGCAAGCAAGCAAGCAAGCAAGCAAGCAAGCAAGCAAGCAAGCAAGCAAGCAAGCAAGCAAGCAAGCAAGCAAGCAAACAAACACTCCCAACCACGCCCCCCCCCCCACCATGCGGACCTTGAGTCCCATGCGACCGCAGCTGAACCAGAGGGCATCGAGGAGGAGAGAGGAACTGCGGGTGGAGGCGATGGGCGGCACCCAGGCAGCCTCCACGTCCGTGGCCAGCAAGATCCCATCACCCAGCCCCGACGATGACGTGCCTGTGCTTTGGTCGTGCACACGCTCAATTGGGAAGAGGTGGAGGTGGCCGGCGACATTCAGGATCATGCTCTTGGCCTCAATCACGGTGCTCTCCGCTGGCGTGAGGTCGTCCACCGCCACGTAGGTCAGCGACACGTCGGTGAGGGAGGACAGGAACGGGATGTGCGCCGACAAGTCCTGACTCAGCACAATTTCGAGCGTGGAGGCCGGGCGGGCGGCAATTCCGCTGTGCGAGGCGGTGACACTCTCCAGGCTGACACGGAAGATGATGACGCGCCGGCGGGAAGAGATGGCGACAATGAGGTCACCGAGCACGTTGATGAGCACCAGGTCACGCGACACCTTGTGGTTCACCACCACCCTGTCCGCATCGAGGTTCTCGGAGCGCGAGTACAGCTGTAGCTGCGACGTCTTGTGCTCTTCAGAGTACGATGCAACGACAATGTGTGTGGACCGCCACCACGCCAGCCCCGCTGTGCAGATGAGATCACGCTCGTGCGCAACGTTGCCAAACATCTTCCACTTGCCCGTCAGCGTGTTGTAGTGCATCAGCCCTGGTTGATTGAAAGGTGAGGTGGTCGGAGAAGGGTAGTCGGAGAAGGGTGGGAGCTGTGAGAACAGGGATAGCCGCGCGAACGCACACTCTCTTCGTATGTGTGTCACGGGCAGGGGATTGTGCCCACAAACACAGACACAGACACACACAGACACACAGACACAGACACACACAGACACAGACACACACACACACACACACGAACACACGAACACAGACACACACAGACACACGCACACACACATGCACAGACACAGACACAGACACAGACACACACGCACACGCACACGAATACACGTCTTCATCAATGAGCTCAGTACTTGGTGTTCAGCTATGAGCCCAAGCTTGTCTTCTCCCCTTCCATCATTTACACCACCCACTGCCGCCATCACATCACCTCGCTGCGCTGCGACGGCGATGAACTGGCCCGTACGGTCAACAGCTGCTGTGAAGATGGGCCCGTTGCTCTCCCGGTACGCCTGCGGAATCTGCTTGCAGGCAAGGCGGAGAGGTGGTGGTGGTGGTGGCGTGTCAAAATTGAGATCGACGGTGGGCAGTATTGTGGTGGCATGAGCACCTTCGCACATGCATGGGTGACAGCATGACATCAACAATGACCGGGTTTCCCGCACAGTCACATCGACACACAGACACACAGGCACAGACACACAGACACACAGACAATCAACAGACACACAGACACATAGGCAGACATACACACAGACACACAGACACACAAACACACACGCACACACAAACACACGCACCAACAACACACGGCGCACCTGGACGTGCTGCCACTGAGTATCGCAGAGGCGGTCGACGTTGTGCCGCGAGTCGGCGTCGGCGCCGCTGTCCGGGTTGATGTACATCGACTCTGCACCAACCAGCACCAGGCTCTCCTCGTGGCACAGGCTCGGCGTAGTCATGCGCGCGCTGCGCAGCAGGTTGACGCGGCACAGGTGGTGTTGCCCCGGCTGCTCAGATGCGCTCACGTACATGACGTGGTACCCTGGCGTGGCCCACACACACGCGTGCGGGGAGATGGGCTGGCCAACGGTGGCTGTGTCGGCAAGGTGGCTGCCAAACACGCTGTGCAGGGACATGGTGTTGGAGCGGAAGAGCTGTGCAAGGCCGTAGCCGTCAGGGGACCAGTGGCAGGCGAGGAGGCGGTGCTTGCCGTCCGGTGGGGGCACCTTGCTGGCGTGCGGGGAGGCGAGCGTGTACAGCAGGCTGTGGGGTGCGCTGCGTCTGTCTGTCTCCAGGCGAAAGACGGACACCTTGGCTGTGGCGTCGGCAACGGCGACGAGGTGGAACGGAAGGTTGATGGACACGTGCACAGCGGGCACCGCGGGGCTCCACAGTTGAGTGCCCTTTGGTGTTGGTTTGGCGGGTGTGTATTGCGGCGGAAGAAGAGTTAGGGGGGGGGGGATTGGGGACGTGCGGGGTTGTAGGCGAATGAACGTGAGTGAAGCAGTTGGCTGCGTTGCTGCTGTGGTGATGTGCAAACCATCACAGGCAGGCAAGCAGGGAGGGAATACAGACAGGGAGGCAAGCAGGGAGGATATATAGATTCGCAACACAGGTAGAAAATACAAAAAGACACATAGGAGCATACACACACCCACCCACCCACCCACACACACACACACCCACCCACACACACACACACACACACACCCACACACACACACACACACACACACACACACACACACAGACACCCACCCACCCACACACACACGCAACACAGACACACACAGACACAGACACAGACACAGACACACACACACACACGCAGACACAGACACACACACACACGCAAACATAGTAAGACGCTCGCGTTCCACCATCTCCTCTCACCTTGACTTCGCCCGTGGCCGTAAATGTAAGGACGACGACGGCGCCACTGTTCATGTGCACAATGACGCGATTGAGGGCGCTGTCTGCCATCATGCTCACGGCATACATGCTGTCTGCTGCACCACGGGTGTCGCCCGTGCCGCCGCCACCACCGCCGCACACGGCTCTGATGGTCACATTGGCGAGGGGGTAACGATGCATCATGTGAAGAAGGGACCCAGGCACAGACAGACAGATAGGCAGACACACAGGCAGACAGACAGACAGACAGACACAGACACAGACACAGAAGCACCAACCTGAGGTCGATGGTGCGAGCGGGATCAAAGGAGGTTGACGCCCAGGGAACAAAGTCGATGATGCCGATCTTGGAGGCGCACAGCACATCCTTGCCCAAGACACAGCACGCCGTGAGCGTGTGGGCGATGAGCGGGCGTGGCGGCGGCGCGTGGGGATCAAACTCAACGCGCTTGGTGATGCGCAGGGGAGCAGGGCAGCCCGCAAGGTGGGATGGCGGTGGGCGCACGGACATGGCGCTCCCACGACGCAGCAGGCCGCTGACAATGGACCCGGGCGTGGTGGTGGTGGTGGAGGCGGAGGAAGGGGAGGAGGAGGTGGCTGCATGCCCTGCTGTTGTTGTCGCAGTCGCTGCTGCCATTGCTGCCGTTGCCGATGCAGGCTTGGCCGCCGTGGCCTGTGCGCTTGACTGCTCAAGCCCGCTGCCGGGTGCGTAGACAACGTCGCTTGCCACGAAGAAGAGGATGTACCCCTTGGACGTGGTGACGCAGAAGTGGTCAGCGGACCGGGGCAGAGGCACGATGTGTTGCGGCATACCAACGGACGTCGGCAGCGGCTGCTGGAACTGCTGTTGCTGCTGTGGGCGACGATATGCAGGCGCACAAGCGTTGCTGTGGCCACTGCGCGATGGATAAGGTGCAGCGGAGGAGAAGGAGGAGGAGGAAGGGGAAGGGGATGTGGGTGCGCGGTCGAACGCAGCGCCTGAGTTGTCGCCTGTCGCAGTTGTCGCAGTTGTATCGTGACGCAGGTTGGTCCTTGACGAGGACGGTGACGAGGATGGGAAGAAGGCCGGGGTGTGAGCAGCGCCAATGGCGGGCGGCGAGCCCTGTGCGTTGTGTTGGTATTGAGGCGGCTGGTGTGAGCGCAGAGGGCTGGTGGTGCTGGTGACGCTGGCGAAGGACGGCGATGCGGTTGACGACGCTGCCGTGGATGTGAGCGACGCGGTACCCGCGTTTGTGGTGTTGGCTGTGGTTGTCGTCGTGGCTGCTGCGGAGGAGGTGCCACCGCTGCCGGCGCTTCCAGTCGTGGTGAAGGCTGGGGAGGAGCGCCCACTTGCGTCGTGCGGTCTGTTTGGGTTGACCTCCAAGTGGAGCGTGTTTGAGATCTGCTCAAATGGGTGCACCGCAAAGAGGGCCAGGGCGTGCGGCTGTGCCATCACCACAAAGGACCCATCTCCGCTTGCGCCCATGCATACACACGGGCCCACGCGGGACACGCTCTCCCGCCCCACAGGCACATACATCTGCGCTGCTGTTGCTCTGTGTCTATATGTGTGTGAGTGTGCGTATGTGTGTGTATGTGCGTGTGTGTGTGTGTGTGTGTGTGTGTGTGTGTGTGTGTGTGTGTGATATTGGTTGGTGGCGTTTGCTCTGCTTTGCTTTCTCCTCCTTTTTTTGCCTTTCTCTTCCTTCCATCCACCACAGCCACCATGTCGGAGGTGCGGCGAGTGAAGCTGCGTGGGCGGCGAGGGAGCGTGTGGACGCTGCCCGTGGCCACGGCCAAGCGGCAGTATGGCGGGCGCGGGCTTGCGCGGGCGTCGCTGTGGATCCCGCTGCCATCCGAGGCGGGCGGGCAGCACTTCACCGCGGCATCCTGGCTGAGCAGGTTCAAGGAGGCGTATGAGGAGCACGTGGAAGGGTTTCATGGCCGCGCCTTCTCTGCAAGCGTGCGGCGGCAGCGGCAGGCCAACATGGACTGGAAGGTGCTGCAGCATGCAAAGTGGACAGGCATGATCCCCGGCCAGCAAGCGGACGAGGCGGGGGCAGATCGCAGCATGTCAGGCAGCGTTGACCGCGAGGGCGGCAGTGATCGCGCACATGATTATGATCCGCACACCCAGCAGCATGGAAAGCCGCGCAGCAGGAGGCGACGTCACAAGGACCAGGGCACACACAGTTCAACAGCACCCAGTGACGGCAACAACACTGCTGCTGCCGTTGCTGGTGGTGGCTCTGATCCTTACACGAACAAGAAGATGCACTCTCTCATGCAACAGACCATGTCTCAAGTCTCCAACAAGGTGCTTTCGCTTTGTGTGTGAGTGTGCGAGAGTGCTTGTATGTGCGTGTGTGCGTGCAAATGTGCTTGTATGTGCGTGTGTGCGTGCAAATGTGCTTGTATGTGCGTGTGTGCAAATGTGCTTGCATTTGTGTGCAAATGTGCTTGTATGTGCGTGTGTGCGTGCGCCTGTATGTTTATGTGTGTGCACACGCTCACATCCACGCTCACATCCACACCGCAGCGGCTCACTGCTACACGCCTTGTTCACACCCTAACTCGCTTTGCAACATCATGCAGAAACTGTTGGAGCTGGAGGCGCTGAGGCTCGAGTCCATTGGCAAGGCTGCATCGGGCCAAGGGATGCGCGTCGCCACCGCACGGTTACAACAGCAACAACAACAGCAGCAGCAGCGGCAGCAGGCGAACAAGAGGGCGCAGAAGAGACTGAAGAACAACAAGACAGGCAGCAGAGGCGGTAACAAGAAGGGCGGCGCAGCCACCCAGGCGCTGCAACACCAAAAACAGCAGCAGAGCCACAAGCAGAAGCAGGGTGGGAAGAAGAAGAAGAAGAAAGGCAGGCTACTGGTTCGACCACGATTGTGACCTGGGTCGATGCTAGCGATAGCAACAGTGTGGTGCATTGTGTGTGTGTGTGTGTGTGTGTGTGTGTGTGTGTGTGTGTGTGTGTGTGTGTGTGTGTGTGTGTGTGTGTTCGTGTGGAGAGGAGTACGGGTTGCTGGTGGTAGGGGTTGGCCAAGCGATGAATAAACAACACTAGCCACAAAGTCAGCTGCTTGAGACAGAGGACGAAGTGTGTTGGAGACACAGAGCAACGGCAAACAGACACACACGCGCAAGCGCGCTATCCACCGTCGGCTCCTGTGTCCAGCCCCGCTATCCTTACGCTTTCTCACATTGTCTCTCGCACGCTCAAACACAAATACACACACAGACACACAGACACTCTCACACACAGATACATACAGACACACACCCACACAGATACATACAGACACACAGACACACACACACACACACAAACACATACACACACAAACATACACACAAACACATACACACACCCAAACACACACTCAAACACACACCCATACACTTGTATTAGATCATGGGGATGGTGGTGGGGTTGACCAAGCGCTTAAAGTCTGCTACGTTGATGGCCAAGGAAAACCGCCGGTCGCCGGCATTGAACACGATGCGGTCCAGCTCCATGAGCTGGGGAGCCACGTACACTTGCAGTCCAAACAGGTTGCCAAAGGGCGGCACGCCCCCAGGCTGCACGCCGCCCGTGATCTCTGCAACGTCGTCCGCACCGGCAAACCGCACGTCCTTCACGTTGAGCGCAGACTTGACCTTCTTCGAGTTGAACTTCTCATCCGCAGGGAACACCAGCATCACGTGCTTGGGCTTGTCGGCGTCGGCGGCCTTGCGCTTCAGCGCCACCACAATCGCCTTTGCTCCTTGTCGGAGCGAGTACCCAGGCCTCGTCGCTGCGGCCTCCTCGCTCGTCCGCACTTCGTCGTGGTGGAATGCTTGGAACCAGCACCCGCTGCTCTGTAACAACGCCACAATCTGCCCAACCACAGCGTGGTACCCGCTCACATCCCCCGCATCACCACCTCTGCTGCTGTTGTCGTTGGTGGGGCTGTCGTTGGTATGGCTGTCGTTGGCATGGCTGTCTGCGACATTTCTCTCCTGCTCCTGCTGCTCCTGCTGCTGCTGCTGCTGCTGCTGCTGCTGCTGCTGCTGCTCCTGCTGCTTGTCCTGCTCCTGCTCTTCATGCTGCTGCTGCTGTTGTTGCTGTTCCAGTTGCTGCTGCTCATCATCTGCCGCCTTCATCTTCGTTGCCTCCATTGTGGTTCACACGCCTTCTCGGCTTCCTTCCTTCTTGGTCTCGTCTCTCAGCTTCCTGGCTGCTGCCGTCCCCACTTTGTTGTCCCCACTTTGTTGTTGTTGTGTTTGTCTTCCACTGCTCTCAATCAGGCATTCATATCCGCGCCCCCTGCCGATTTGTGCTGACATCAGCAAAAATTCTGCCTCACACATTTTCCCACACACAAAGACAAGGGAAGAACCGCAGCGCAAAGGCGCCGCACGCAAAAGCAAACAACAAGAAGGGAACAAGCCACAGACACAAAGCACATCACAAGCCCACGCTGCCTCCACACACATTCCCGACCTTGTTGTTGGCGGAGCGTGTGCTGGGTGCCCAAACCAATCATCCCATTCTTCTTCCTTGCTTGCTTGCTCGTCTCGCTTCTTCTTCCCTTCTATCTCCTGTGGCACCACACACACACACACACACACACACACACACACGAGCGGCAGTGATCGTGCTGGCAAGAAGAAGCAACACAGCACAGCAGCCAACGAAGAGCAAGCAGGCCACTCACCCCAGTGGACGCTGTCCTTTTCTTGCTCTTTTCTGTCCCTTGTTGTTGTTGTTGTTGTTGTTGTTGTTGTCGTGCTCACTCCATTGAACACTGTGTTTGGTGGTTTCAGCATCGCACACTGCTCGCACACAGCATACAGTGACTCAGTGCATCGTTCTTCGCACAGCACACACTGCCATTCAACCGACTTTCTTTTTCCCGTCCACTTCTTCGCGTGTCTTCTTCTGCTTGTTCTTCTTTCCCCAGCTAGATGGCTGACCTTTCAACACGCCTGGCCGATGGCTTCGTATGCATTCCCGTCATCACGGCATGCGATGCCATCGGGCTCTTTGACTTGCCCTCGAATGCCGCCACGGCATCCAAGGGCGCGTGGACCATCTCCGAACTGGCGCAGCAGCTGGGCGTTCGCGACGGTTACCTCGCCGTCTGCCTGCGCCTCCTTGCTTCCCTCGGCTGGGTGTCCATCTCCTACACCACCACCACCACCACAGCCACCACAACGGCCACTCCCAGCCAAGCCACGGCCACAACAGCCAAAACCAACGCCACAGACGCACAACAGCACGCGCGATTGGAAAAGCTGTTCACCATCAGTCCTGATTGCAAGCACAAGGCAGCCAAGATCCCGCCGCGGCTGCCTCGCCTCTTGCACCTGGATCTGGTGAACCTCTTTGCCACGAATGATGCTGCTGCTGCTCCAACTCCGTCGTCGTCGTCGTCGTCGTCGTCGACCTCGACAAGCGCGGCCCTCGACCAGCAGGCCACGGAGTTTGCCGAGATTGTGGCCACCGTCCTCCAGCAACGGCAGGAGGAGCACGCTGCCGACGAGTTGCTGCAGCAGCTCATTGATGGCTTCATCCTGGCGTGCGTTCTTGTTGGCATGCATCAGGCTGGCCGCCTGCTTGGCCTCAAAGGCGGCAACATTGACGCCATCGGCAACAGACTCACCGAGGAGCAGGTGGTGTCGCGCCTTGCCACGCAAGGCATCACTGATCCCAAAGATGTCGGCGTTGCCATCAGCACCGCCCCCATCCACTCCACATGCCGGGCGCCTCTTGTTCGCCTCCTTTCCGTTCACGACTGGCTTCAACAACATGACCAACACCAGCCACAGAAAGATCAACAACAGCAGCAACAACAACATGACCAGCAACAGCAACAACAGCAGCAGCAACAACAGCAACAACAGCCACAGCAAGAGCAACAGCAGCAACAACAGCAACAACAAGAGCAACCAGATCAGCAGCTCATCATCCGGTTGACAGACATTGGGCGCTTCATCTGCGAGCGTGCGCTGGTTGTGGGCACCACGGCCTCATACCGCAGCATGTTTTCCCGCCTGACAGAGCTCATGCGCAGCGGGCCGGCCATCTTTGAGAAGAGCAAGGCCGAGCAGGACGTGGAGGAGGCGCACGTGAACCGCACCCTCAATGTCGTGGGAAGCGGATTCCAGCACCAGAAGTTCTTCGCCGACGTGGACGAGATTGTTCGCGCCATCTTCGACACGCCCGACTTTGAGGACCAGCCCTCCTACGTTGTGGACATGGGCTGCGGCGACGGCGAGTTTCTCAAGCGCGTGTACAACGTCATCCGCTCCAGTACGCTGCGTGGCCAGCACCTGTCGACCCACCCCGTCTATCTCGTTGGCGCGGACTTCAACCAGACGGCCCTTGACGCCACACGCATCAACCTGGAGGGCCTGCCCACGCTCCTGCTCAAAGGAGACATTGGCGACCCGCAGCGCTTGCACCGCGACATGATGGACAAGTTCAACATCACCAGCGTGCACCAGGTGCTGCACATCCGCTCCTTCCTCGACCATGACCGCCCTTACATCCCAGCCAAGGCGCCCTCCCTCGCCCGCCAGCACGTGCCATACCACGGCGTGCACATCACGGGCGAGGGCTACCTCATCCCCGTGCACGACTGCATCCAGAGCCTGCTCGAGCACCTGCACCGCTGGAAGTCCATTGTCAGCGAGCGCCACGGGCTTGTGCTGCTTGAGGTGCACTGCCTGCCCGCCCTGGCCACGCGGGAGCACCTGGGCTCGTGCGAGAGCCTGCACTTTGACGGCTACCACGGCATCTCGGGCCAGCTGCTGGTCACGGCCGCCAGTTTTGTCATGACCGCCGCAGAGGCGGGCCTCTTCCCCGTGCTGAGCCAGGCGCACGTGTACCCGCGCCTGCGTGCTTACACGCGCATCACGCTCAACCGCTACGTTTCCCGCCCTTACCGCGTCCGGTTTGCGCGGGAGGAGGACCTGCCTGGCCTGCTGCACCTGCAGGAGGTGTGCTGGCACCAGCCAGGCATGCGCGCCACGGCCCAAGACCTCCTCGGCCGTATCCGCCGCCATCCAGAGGGACAGCTTGTCCTCGAGGAAATGCTGCATGCAGGCAACAACTACGGGGGCGACGACGACGACGACGATGCTGACACTGGCACTGCTGCTGGTCGTGACACCTCTACAAACCAGGATGCTCAACAGCAACAGCAGCAGCAACAACAACATCATGAGCAACAGCGGTTCAGGCTGGTGGGCGCGGTTTACTCCCAACGCATTGCAGGGGAGGACGCGCTGCTAAACGTGAGGTATGATCGCATCCACGACCTGCACGCGCCCGAGCACAGGCACGTGCAGCTGCTGGGGCTCAACGTGCTGCCGGAGATGCGCCACAAGGGATACGGCCGCACCCTGCTCAACTTCTTTCTCTACGTCACCAGCCTGGACCCCTTCACCAACAGCGTGTTTGGCGTCACCCGCTGTGGCGAGTACGCTCGCCACGCCCACCGCTACGAGTCGTGCCTGCACTACGTTGCTGCCACGCACGCGGAGTCTGGCCTGCCAAACGACCCCATTCTGCGCTTCCACGTGTCCAACGGCGCGCAGATGCTGCGCGTGCTGCCAAACTACCGCCCAGCGGACACGGAGAACCACGGCCACGGCGTCCTCATCCGCTACGAGCTCAGGCGCAGGCTCGACTACCACCACCACCAGCACCAGCACCAGCAGCACCACGAACAGCCACAGCAGCGCAAAGGCGCAAGCACTGCAAAGCACGGGTCATCGTCCTCCTCGTCGTCGTCAGCGTACCATAAGCTGCCGTCTGTGCCGCAGCTGGTGCAGGCCCTGCAGGAGCAGCAGCGCCAATTCCCGCAGCAACTCGAGGGCGCCCATGCCTTGCCTGCGCTCACCGCGGCTGCTGCAACAGCAAGAACACCAACATCAGCAGCAGCACCATCGTCGTCGGCAACAGCAACGTCGACAGGGGCGCAGCAGGCGGCAAGCGGGGAGGCTGCTGTGGCCACGAGCGAGGACGATGTGTTGCAGCAGATTCTCGACTGCGTGTGCGACCTGAAGGGGCTGGATGCCAGCGATGCTGACAGCGAAGGATATGCCACGGAGTCCTTCACGGCGCTCGGTCTTGATTCCATGGACCTGCTTGACTTGCAGCTGGTGCTCTCCACCCAGTTTGGCTGCGAGTTGCACCCGACTGCCTTTTTCCAGTTTCCAACACCCTCCGCGCTTGCCGCGCACGTGTTTGAGACGTTTGTCTCCTCACAGCTCGAACAACAACAGCGACAACAACAACAGAAGCAGCAACAGCAACAGCAAGTAACCAGTGAAGCGAAGACAGCGCCCTCTTCTTCTTCTCCTTTGGCATCACCATCACCAGCACCATCACCATCAACAGCAACAGCAACAGCAACAAGCGGCGCCACCGCAGCACCACTGCAGCCATCACAGCCAATGTCAACGTCCAACACCGTGCCCACCACCTCCACGGTTGCGCCGACAGCTGCGACAGCAACTGGAGCCAATGCTCACTCGTCCAGCAATGCGGAGGTGGTGATCACGGGCATGGCGGGCCGTTTCCCGCAGTGCGCGTCCGCCCGTGAGTTCTGGATGCGCATTCTCGCTGGGGAGGACCTGGTGACGGCCGCGCCAACAGGGCTGCGCCCGCGACACTCTGCTGCAGATGTCCAGCAGCATCAGCATCAGCATCAGCAGCAGCAACAGCAGCAGCCGGCCACACACGCCGGTGGGTACTTGCAAGACGTTGTTGGCTTTGACCGCGCGTACTTTGGGCTGTCGGAGACGGAGAGTGCGCACATGGACCCGCAGCAGCGGCTGCTGTTGATGACGGTTGTGCATGCCCTTGAAGACGCCCTGCTGCCGCCAAGCATGCTCAAGGGCAAGCGCGTCGCCGTGTTTGTGGGCGCCTTCTCCCACGACTACGAGTGGATCTCACTCGCCCATCATCAACAGCAGCAGCACCACCACCAGCAGCAGCAACAACAGCAGCAGGAGCACCTGAGTACGTACTTCAGCACGGGTAACTCGTCCAGCGTGCTTGCTGGTCGCGTGGCGTACCAGTTTGACTTTCGTGGACCGGCCATCTGCGTGCACACGGCGTGTTCCTCCTCGCTTGTGGCTGCGCATCTTGCGCGCCATGCCCTGCTGCGCGGCGAGTGCGATGTTGCGCTCGTCTCTGGCGTCAACCTCATGCTGGCCGACGTCCTCTCGCAGGTGTTTGGCCAGGCAGGCATGCTGTCGCCCCAGGCGCGCTGCCGCACCTTTGCCGAGGGTGCTGACGGGTATGTGCGCGCGGAGACGTGCGCCACCCTTGTGCTGCAGCGCACAGACAGCCCGCTGCTGCTTGCTTCGCCGTACGCATGCATCAAGGGCACGGCGCTGAACCAGGACGGCCGCACCAACGGCCTCACCGCGCCAAACCCCGATGCGCAGCGCGCCGTGATTGAGGACGCGCTTGCGGATGCGGGCCTGCGCGCTGACGCCATCTCCTATCTGGAGTGCCACGGCACGGGCACGTCGCTTGGGGACGCCATTGAGGTACAGGGTCTTAACGCCGTGTTCAAGCTGCGCACGCGCCCGCTGCACATTGGCTCTGTCAAGACCAACACGGGCCACGCTGAGGCTGCCGCCGGTATGGTGTCGCTGTGCAAGGCGGCGATGGCCGTGCACGAGGGGCGCGTTCCACCCCACCTGCACTGCAGGAGGAAGAACTCGCTGCTGGCGCTGGACGTGGTGCCGCTCGTCATCACCGACGACGGCCTCGCCCTCTCCTCCGCTTCATCGTCTTCATCGTCGCAGCAAGCACATGCGGGTGGGGTGGCGGTGGGCATCAGCTGCTACGGCTACAGTGGCACCAACTCCCACGCCATCCTCACCAGCCGCGGGTGCGAGCGCATCTCCCGCCCGGCCTCGATTTCGGCCCTGCTGGCCAGTCGCGGCCTGCATCTCGACGCTGCCACGGCTGCGGCGGCGGTGCCCGCCCCACACGGCGCCTCGTCCATGCATCTCGTGGCCATGCCCGTGTCAGCGCAGAACACGGAGGCGTGCATGCAGGCAACGGCGGCCCTCGCTGCGTCTCTCGTGGATCCAGCACTTGCGAGCGCGTCACTGTCTGTGCTTGCCCTTGCCGCGTTGGTCGGACGTGAGCACGGACTGCCACGCCAGCTGCTGGTCATGTGCGATGCCGCGTCCCCGCGTCGCGCTGTTGCCAGCTCGCTCGCAGCGGCCGTGCACGCGCTCCAACCGTTTGCCCTGCAGCCATCGCCAGAGCTGGCCGCGCTACTGCCGCCACCTGGCCGTGGCGGGGCGCACGGCGAGCACGCTGGCGGCGATGCTGGTGGCAGCGTTGCGACATATGTGGTCGATGCCGCTCCAGCATGCCTCATGTTGCCCGTGCAGGCGGATCGCGTTGTCGTGGACCTGCCATCGTCGACGCGCGCCATGAGCCTGGCCATGTGGCCTGCCCACTTGCAAGCGCCAGCGAGTGCCCTCAACCGCATCCATGTTCCTGCCGCGTTGGCCGCTGCCCACTTGCAGAACGCATATCGCCTGTGTCGCTTCCTTGCCACGGGCTTCAAACTCGCCAGCAGCGCCTCTGCGGCTGCTGTTGTTCCCACTGGTGGCTCAGGCACATCCGTTCAGCAACAACACAAGCAGAAGGGCCTTGTGGTGCGCGCACATGACGCATCGCACGTTGTGGCCTGCTTGCTTGCGCTCGGCGTCGTCTCCGAGGACCAGGCGAGCCAGGCCCTGCGTGACACAGCACCGGACGCTCTGTTGAAGCAGCTGTTTGGTTGGGCCAGGCAGCCAGGCCAAGCCGCATCGTATGAGGTTGTTGCCACCGCCAAGGGCGTGTCTTGCCTGACCTTGTCCACCAGCATGAGAGACAATGCGCCCTCTGCTGCCTCCACATCGTCGTCATCGCACCCGTATTCAACTGCGCCTGCAGCATCGGGTGCGGCTTGTGATGTCACGCTGGTGTCACAGCATGTCGCCTTTGTGCTCAGTGCCACGAACCCTGTGCATTGGCATGCGCTGGCCACGCGCTTCGCTGCTCTGGAACGTTCCCTGACCAATGCCATTGTTGCCTGTAACGCTGAATTGTGGACCAGCATGCAGGCTGTGCCGGCGTCGCTGCCGCGCCTGCCCCTCTACCCCTTTCAGCTGCTCCCGTCCTGGCTGCCAGATGACATGCCGCTCGCAGCCGTGCGCCTGAGCCCGGCCGTGTCTGGCCTGCCACGCAACCACGTCATCATGCAGCAGGAGCTGCTGCCTGGTGCCGCCCTCGTGTCCTCGCTGTTGACTGCGCTGCATGCGCTTGAGCTGTCGCCCACACAGCGCGCCCACGCCACCACCGAGCTCACGGGGGTCACCCTCTCCCGCTCGGTCTCTGCCGCTGACGTGCCGCACACACGGGCCGTGCTGGGCGGCGACGGCACATTCGCCGTCACTGTTGCTGCTGGCGGCACCCGTGCCTGCGAGGGCACGTGGCGCCTGGCCAGCCCGTGGTGCCGCACCACGTTGCAGTGGAAGCAAGCGGCGGCGGCCCTCGCCTCATCCACGCTGCAGCACGCCGTGTCGCCCGACGACTTTTATGCGAGTATGGCTGCTCGCAGCATGCACTATGCAGGACCCCTGCGAGCGTTTGACGAGCGCATCACCTTCACCACCAGTGCGGGACCTACCGCTGCTGTGGCGCGTGGCCACATCTCCACCACCACCACCCAAGCACGTGGTGACACCGACACCGCCTTGCTCATGGCGCAGGCGCTCGATGCCGGCATGCAGCTCTGCGTCGACCTGGCCGCCCGTGTTTTGGACGCCAACGGTGCCAGTAGCGGTGGTACCGGGCAGCACGGCAGTTCCTCCGTTTCGTCTGCATCGTCCGCGTCTTCGCAGCTCTCCTTCATGCCCGTGGCAATGGCGCGTGTGGTGATGCTGCTTGAGACGGCGTTTGCGCTGTCCACCAGCGGCCACGGCGCCAACAACGGCAGCAACGGTGGCCTGGAGGTGTACGCGGGTATTGATTTGCCGCAGCCGTCGGACCTCGACGCCTTGCAGCGAACGGGCCGCATCAAGGTGACTGCGTGGGTGTGTGCCGCAAACGCACAGGGCAGGCTTGTTCTCTCTGCCGAGGGCATCTCCCTGCAGGCGTTCCGCAACATGGGTGCAGCTGCACCCGTTGGCCCGACACCCGCTGTTGCTGTGTCGCATGCACAGCAGCAGCCTTTGGCGGGCCGAGCCGCCTCGAGCGACGCACGGCAAGCGTTTGCCCCTGGCACCGCAGCCCAGGGCGGCGGGGACGCAGCAAGCCACCCTGCCGCCTACCGCGACGTCATCTTCCCTGTTGCGTTGCCGCTTCCCACACCAGCACCAGCACCAGTATCGCTTCCGCCATCCGCCGTGCTGCACATTTCCCTGGTCTCCACCTCGCCCCTGCCATATGATGATGAGGCCCTGCAGGCCGAGTTCCATGCCGCGCCGCTCAACATCTCCATTCCCGTGCAGCCGCCGGCGCCCATGGAGGATGACGGCGCACACGACGCCCTGTTGCACATTGTCATGTCCGAGCTCTCCTCGGCCTCATCGCCCACTCCAGTGACCTCTCATCCCGCAGAAGGAGCAGCAGCGACAACAGCAGCAGAACCAGCACAGCAGGCGTCAGCACAGGCACACGTGCCGGCGCCTGTGACGACTGTGCTGATTCACGTGGATCCTGTGCTGCTGGAGGCGAAGGAGGACGTGGTGGGTGCGAGCGATGCCATGCGCACGCGCGCTGCTGAGGTTTACTGGTCCCTCGTGCGCACCGTGCAGGTTGTGCTGGCTGCCCGCGCCCGCCACACGGACAGCCAGGCCATCTCCACCGTTGCCGTGTGCGTCCCACAACAGGGTCGGTTCTTTGAGGAAGTGTGGGCCGCGTGCAAGTCATTTGCGCGCGTGGTCTGGTCTGAGCGCCACTTTCGCCGCTCCTGCGCCATTGCTACCCTACCTGCTTCCCCAAACGCACCCGCCACCTCTCTCAACGACATCTACGCCCTCCTGCAAGCGTCAGACACGGCGCCAGCATCAGCGGCCTCTTCGTCGCCATCAACAACCACATTTGATCCGCTGCTCGTGCTGCGAGCAACACGCCCTTCGCAAGAGCGCGGCAGCCAGCAACAGCAAAGCGAGTGGGTGCAGGAGCGGTTCGTGCCCGTGCGGGCGGAGGACGTGTCGCCGTCCTGGCCATGGCACATCACGCAGCCCTCACAGTCGCACGCCTCGCTGGATGACCTGCAGCCCTCACCACTGAGCTGGGACGGCGACTGTCCCCCAGATGCCATTGTGGTGCAAGTCACAGCCGTTTCCCTCAACTTTCGCGACGTGCTCGGTGTTCTGGGCCTGTACCCTGGCCCACCAGCACCGCCTTGTCGCGACTTTGCGGGTGTCGTGCTGGCCATTGGCACAGGGGTCCTCGCTGCCAACAGCACCGCAGTCTCTGTCGGTGATCAGGTCTTTGGCACCCACCCGGGTTGCCTCGCTTCCCACATCCAAGTGCACCCATCGCAGCTGGCTCGCGTGCCGTCGACGACCGATGCCTGGTCTCCGCAGCGGTGCGCTGCAGCTGTCAGCGTCGAGATGACGGTGACCATGGCGCTTGCTGATGGCGTCTCAGAGCGACTGCCGTCCGCCAAGGGTCTTGCCCTTGTCCATGCGGGCGCGGGCGGTGTCGGCCTCGCTGCTATCAGCCGCCTCACCAAGCTCGGGCTGCGCGTGTTTGCCACGGCGGGCTCCCAGCGCAAGCGAGACGTCCTGGTCAAGCTCCCGGGCGTCGTTGCCGTAAGTTCCTCCCGTGACTTTGCCGCCTTTGAGCGCGATGCCAGAGACGTCGTGCGCCAGCACGGCAGCGTCCACCTCGTCCTCAACAGCCTCTCTGGCCAGTTCACCTCCCTCTCGCTGCAGCTGCTGTCGCAGCAGGGAACTTTTGTGGAGCTGGGCAAGCGCAACATCATGACACCCGAGGAGGTGAGGGCAGTCCGCCCAGACGTCAACTACAGAGTGCTGGCCGTGGACGCCGTCGTCGACAACGACATGCACGCGTGCCACGCTGCCATGGAAGAGCTTGCCGAGCAGATGCGCCGCGGTGTGGTTACACCGCTCCCAACGACAGAGTTTCCCCTCGACACCACCGGCGTACGGGAGGCGTTCAAGTTCATGCGCAGGGCAGAGCACGTGGGGAAGATTGTGCTGTCTGCGGACCACGAGCGCGTGGCACCTCGGTCAAGCCGCGTGCGTGGCGGCGTGTACGTTGTGAGCGGGGGACTGGGTGCGCTTGGCTTGCAGACGGCGGCGTGGCTGCTGTGCCGCGGCGTGGAGCACGTGGTGCTGCTGTCGCGGTCTGGGCGCGTGGGGCACCCGGACCTGGTGCCGCTGTTTGATGCGCTGCCGACGCAGCAGCGGATGGACCGGCTGGGCGCGGCGCAGCGCGGGCTGGCGCGGGTGCACGTGCGGGTGTGCGACGTGAGCCGGGAAGAGGATGTGCGGGAGATGTACCGGTGGTGTGTTGCCAAGCTTGGCGGAGTGGATGGGGTGTACCATGCTGCTGGTGTGACGTCTGACCGAGGGATTGAGAAGGTTGAGCGGGATGATGTGTGGCGCGTGTTTGGGGGCAAGGCTGGCGGGGCGTGGCACCTTGACCGGGTTGGGGAGGAGGTTGATGGGGTGGAGGTGGGTGAGTTTGTGGTGTACTCGAGTGCGTCGAGCGTGCTTGGGCTGCGTGGGCAGAGCGTGTATGCTGGTGCGAACGGGTATGCAGACGGGGTAGTGCGGCGGCGGCGCCGGGAGGGGAAACCGGCACTGAGCGTGCAGTGGGGCGCGTGGGCGTCCCACGGAATGGCGGCTGCGAATCTGGTCAAGAAAATGCAGGCCGTTGGCGCAGCCCCCATCACCCCTCCTCCCCCAATCGCATTTGCCATGCTGGATGCCCTGTTGGCCGCCAGCGAGGAAAGCCGAGGCGCCGTGTCCCTCGTCGTGTTTCCAGCCCACTGGACCACGTACGCAAAAGCCTTGCCAGCACAGAGCCGCGGTCCGCTCGCCTCGCTTACCGGTGTCGTGCAACCACAGCAGTCGCCCGACGCTCTTGCTTCGTCACAGTCCTGGACACCCGAAGCGCTCCACGATGTGGTGGTGTCTTGTGTGAGGGATGTCTTGCCCCACACACCACAGCCGACTGATCCGCTCATGGACGCAGGGCTCGATAGCGTGTCGGTGATTGAGCTGCGGAACAGACTGGAGAGCGCCACTGGCTTGAGCCTGAGCGCCGGCCTCCTGTTCAGCTACCCGACCATTGACGCCATTGCCAAGCACCTGCAGACGCTGCTCATTCCAGCTGTGGATGCGCCTGTCGTCGCCCCTGCTGGCGCGGCTGAGCGGCGCGGGCTGGAGGCGGCGCTTGCCACAGCTGCCGTTGTTGGTGTTGCCTGCCGCTTCCCTGGCGCCGACTCTGCCCAGCAGTTTTGGCGCAATCTCAAGGCAGGTGTGGACTCGATTACGCCGCCACCGCGAACGCGACCGAAACTCAGCCGCGAATCGCAGGCCGGGTATGTCAGCGACGTCGGCTGGATGGACCCCAGCTTCTTTCAGCTGACCCTGGCAGAAGCGGCTCAGATGGACCCACAGCAGCGCATGGTGCTGGAGGTCGCGTACATGGCGCTGTGCAGTGCCGGCATTTCGCGTGACGCCGTGGCGGAGAAGCCAATCGGCGTGTTTGTTGGCATGTGCAGCTACGACTACACGGGCTTGCAGCTGCCAGCCACGCCTCTCACGGGCACAGGCCGTTCGCACGCCATCCTGGCCAACCGCGTGTCGTATGCGCTTGGGCTGACGGGCCCGAGTCTCACCGTGGACACGGCGTGCTCATCCTCGCTCGTGGCTGTCGACCTCGCCATGCAGAGCTTGCGCCAGGGCACCTGCACATACGCCATTGTTGCTGGTGTTAACGTCATTGCCAGTGACATCATGTTCAATGTTACGAAACGTGGGCATGTTGTCGAAGACGAACCGGTGCCGGACGTTTGACGCTGGTGCAGATGGATACGTGCGCGGCGAAGGGTGTGGTGCCATTGTGCTGACGCTTGAAGGCAATGCCACCAGCAGTGGCGCAGCGGCTGCGACAGGGGCCGGTGGCGCTGGGGCTGAGCAGCAGCAACAGCAACAGCAGCAGCAGCAGCAGCAGCAACAGCGGTTGCACACGCGCGAGCCGCTTGCGTACATCAAGGGCAGCGCTGTGAACCAGGACGGGCGGACAGCGAGCCTGACGGCGCCGAGCGGACTTGCGCAGCGCAAGGTGATGCGAGCGGCGCTTGCGGATGCAGGTGTGCGGGCTGAGGATGTTGTGTATGTGGAGGCGCACGGTACGGGGACGAGTCTCGGGGACCCGATTGAGGTTGAGGCTTTGCAGGATGTGTACTGTGGGCGCGGCAGCCAGGAGGGCGGCGACGTTGGTGGGCGACGTGAGCGGCTGTATGTTGGTGCCGTGAAGACGAACATTGGGCACCTTGAAGGGGCAGCTGGGATCGCTGGGCTGATCAAGGCGATTCTTGTTGTGCACCATGGGGAGGTAGTGCCGAACCTTCACATGGATGCGCTGAATCCGCACATTGGGCATGTTGGCGGGGAGGGCGAGGTGGTGTTTCCTCGGAAGGAGGGGGGTGTTGGTGTTGCTGGTACGGTAGAGAGCGGGCGACTGGGGCCATCGTGCGTAGGCGGGGATGGGCGCGTGTATGCGGCTGTGAGCAGCTTTGGCTTTGGCGGCACAAACGCCCACGTTATCCTTGCACAAGCAACTCCGCCTGGCACCAGCACGGACGAGACTGCGGCATCTCGGGCCTTGCCATCGACATCACGTGAATTGACAGCAGCTACTGGTCCTTCCTCCCCCTCAGCAACAGCAACTGCTGTGAAAGTCCTCAAGGGCGTGTGCTTCATGTTCTGTGGCCAGGGCTCACAGTACGCGGAGATGGGCAAATCGCTTTACGAGAACAACGTGGTCTACCGTGAGTGCTTTGACAAGCTGTGTACTCTCTGTGTTGAAGAAAACCTGCTGCCCACACCGCTGTGGGACGTGGTGTTTGGCTCGAAGACAGACGTCATCAACCAAACCATGTACGCGCAGCCGACTCTGTATGCGCTTGAAGCCGCCATGTACTCGGCCATCGCCAGCAGCGGCGTTGTGCCGGAGTTTGTGCTTGGCCACAGCCTCGGTGAGGTGGTGGCTGCATTTGCACTCGGAGTCCTCTCGCTCGAAGATGGCTTTCGCCTGGCATGCGCCCGTGGCACGCTCATGCAGCAGCTGCCGGAGGGCGGGACGATGGCAGCCATCTTCTCCGACATTGACTCGGTGCGCAGCACCATTGCTTCACTCTCGCTTGAGGACAAGGTCGCCATTGCTGCCGTGAACGGCCCGAAGCTTGTCGTTGTTTCCGGCGATAAGCAGGGCGTGCTGGCGGTGGGCGAGGCGGGCAAGACGCGGTTTGTTGAGTTGACCGTGTCACACGCGTTCCACTCGCACCTGATGGCCGGCATGATTGCTCCTTTCGAGAAGCGTCTCACGGCGGCGGATGGCGTGACATTCCGCCCTGCACACAAGCACATGCGCATGGTGTCCACCGTGACTGGCGATGTGATTGAGGAAGAAGACCTGCACAGAGTGGATTACTGGACCACGCATGTCATGCGTCCTGTGCTGTTCTACAAGGCGCTGCAGCAGGCGGCGGCCAACGGCGCCACCACCTTCATTGAGATGGGCTCTCAGGACATTCTTGTCGGCATGGCTCGCCGATGCAAGCTCAAGGGCATCACTCTGACCAACATCATCAACAAGAAGGCAACTGCCGACGCCCCAGCCACCCTGGACAAAGTCGTGTCCGACTTGTCAACGAGGGAGGGCGTAGTGATTGCTGAACGCAGCCAAGGTGCACAACAAGAACGGCAACAGAAGGAGGATGAGGAGGACCAGTTGCAGACTGCAACCTCGCCCTTGTTGTCTTTGCGACCATCTGACGTATTTGAACGCCGAAGGGACATTCCCTTCACGCTTCCCACGGCCCCAGCTTCCTCGCTGCCATCCAAGCGAACACAGCACAGCGAGCAGCTTGATGTCAGCCAGCAGCCGCGTTGCCTCGTGCACGCGCATGTTGAGGAATCGCTTGTGGCAGCAGCCTTGCCGGAAGACCCAGCACACTGGACGGCAGCGCCCATTTCAGCTGCATTTGCAACTTCAACCGCCAAAGTGCCGTCGTGGCTCAAGACAACCACACCCACGAGCAAGCATGATGTGATTGACGTCGTGAGCCAGCTGGAGCACGCGCCGCAGCTGACGTTTGTGTTTGTGCTGGACGGCCTGAGCACGGCCGATGCGCTGGTGCAGCTGGCCACCTGGGGAGCGGCGGTGTGCGAAACCCTGTCCACAAGCACCACCAACATCACCATCGTGGTTGTTTCCTTCCTTGGCGAGAGCAGCGCAGAGGCGGGCGCAGCACAGCAGCTTGTGCCGTGGCATTTGGCGGGCGCGCTCAAAGCTGTGAGCGTGGAGCTTGGCGTCACTGCGCTGCGCCTGCTCGTGCTCTCGCCCTCTGCCCCGTGCATTCCCACACTGCCCACGGACACACCACACCTGGTGTTTCTGCAGACCAAGGCAACGGCAGCGCCCAAGGGTGCGCAAGCAGTGCACGCCGTGCAGGAGCAGGTGTTTGCCGTGGACATACAGGAGTCCGAGACCAGCAAGGCCGAGGCGCATGGTGCTGCGCCATCTTCTCTTTCCAAAGATCAGGCAGCGCCGGGCACGGCTGTTGTCACGGGCGGGCTTGGCCAACTTGGGCTGGCGGTGGCTGAGGTGCTTCTTGCACATGGGCACGAGCAAGTACTCCTCTGTTCCCGGCGCAGCGAGAGTGGCACGCCGAAGGACACACAGCATCAGCTGCAACAATTACGTGCGCGCTACTGCGAGGGACAGGCCGACCGCCTGTCTGTGCTGCAGGTGGACGTGAGCGACGAGCTGATGCTACTGGACACGCTGCGACCTTTTGCTCCACACATTGACGCCATCGTGCATTGCGCAGGCGTCACGCGCGACGCAGCCATTGACAGCGTTGCGCGCAAGGACGCACAAGACGTGCTGAGCGGCAAGCTCATGGGCGCGAACAACCTGCACACTGCAACCGTTCGCCTCGCCATGCCCCGCTTGAAGCGGTTTGTGCTGTTCTCCTCAGCCTCTGCGCTCTTCCCCATGCCGGGGCAGTACACATACGCTGCTGCAAATGCAGGCTTGCAAGGTATTCACGCCCAGCGCACGGCTGCAAAACACCCGAGCCAGCTCGTCCTGTGGGGTCCGTGGAGCGGGTCAGGCATGATGGCCAAACTCTTGCCGGCCCAGGTTGCTCGGATGCAGCAGCGTGGCTTCTTCATGCTGGATGCCTCGCTGGGACAGCTGGCACTGAATTTCGTGCTCACAGCGTCGTCGAGCAGTGCATGCCACGTAACTTTCTGCACAACAGTGCCCACAGCGCACCGCCTCACAGCTGCGCTCGAGCTTCCAGCGACTACAGCAGCCTTTGCTGCTGCGCTGCAGGCAGCTGCTGAAGAAACCACCAGCCAACAGCACGACCAAGGCACGTCGAAGGCTCGACCGCGCGCACCGCAAGAGGTGTTTGCCCGCCTCGTTGGCATTGTTCAGGATCTTCTGGGCACGGCCATCTCACAGCAGGAGCTGACAAAGCCACTCCGAGAGCTGGGATTCGACTCCATCGCTTCCGTCGAGCTTGCGCGTCAGGTTGAGCAGCAGTTGGGCGTGAGCGTTTCTGCCACAGCAGCATTCGATTTCCCGTCCATCCGCACATTGGCCCAGCACATCCACGAGCGCTTGGCTCACGTCAGCGTGGGCACGCCCATGTCTTTGTCACGACGAGGCGACAGCAGCGCTGAGATTGCGGTTGTTGGCGTTGGGCTGCGGTTTGCCGGGTGCGACGACGAGGCGTCGTTCTGGCGCATGCTGGAGGGCGGGGCGTGCACGGTGTCGACGCTGGCATCGCACGCCGGGCAGCGCACGTGGCAGCTGCAGCGGCCCATCAGCCAGGGCGGCGTGCTGTCGGACGTGAAGAGCTTTGACGCTGCGCTGTTCAACATCTCCAACCGGGAAGCCGTGAGCATGGACCCGCAGCAGCGGATCATGCTTGAGACTAGCTACCGCGCGCTGGAGAGTGCTGGGATGACGCTTGAGCAGGCGCGCGCGGTGCGGACGGGGGTGATGATTGGATCTGGTGTGAACGAGTACCACAAGGTGCTTGAGCGTGCGCGTGCAGCGGGGAGCTATGAGGCGCAGGCTGGGCACATGATCACGGGGAACACGAGCAGTGTGCTTGCTGGGCGCGTGGCGTATGCGCTTGGGCTCAAGGGTCCGACGTTCTTTGTGGACACGGCGTGTTCGACGTCGCTTGTTGCTGTGCATCTTGGGTGCCAGTCGCTGCGCAGTGGCGAGAGCGACGTTGTGCTTGCGGGCGGCGTGAACGTGCTGCTTGACGGGGAGAACTGGGACATGCTGTATGACAGCGGGGCGCTGTCGAAGCAAGGGCAGTGCCGGGCGTTTGATGCGAGCGCGGACGGGTACGTGCGGTCTGAAGGGTGTGGCGTTGTTGTGCTGAAGCGGCTGGAGGACGCGGTGCGCGACGGCGACCCGATCCGGGCCGTGATCCGGGGCAGCGCGATGAACCAGGACGGGCGGTCGTCTGGGCTGACTGCGCCGAATGGCCCCGCGCAGACGGCAGTGATTGAGGCTGCGCTGCGCAGTGCGGGCGTTGCGGCTGGGGATGTTGAGATGCTTGAGGCGCACGGGACGGGGACGCCGCTTGGGGATCCGATGGAGATGCAGGCGGCGATTGCGGCGCTGCGCAAGGGCGAGAGTGCGTGTGGGCGCGTGCTGCATGTTGGGTCGATCAAGTCGAACATTGGGCATGCGGAGGCGGCGGCTGGTGTTGCGGGCCTGATCAAGGCGATCCTGAGTGTTGAGCGTGGTGTGATTCCGCGGCACGTGCACTTTGAGGAGCTGAATCCTGCGATTGGGGAGCTACCGCCGAGCGTGCGTGTTGCGACGGAGACGACGGAGTGGCAGAGCGACGTGCGCGTTGCTGGTGTGAGCTCGTTTGGCTTCAGCGGCACCAACTGCCACGTTATCGTGAGCGGCTACGACAAGCCGCCCTTGCAAAGCTTGCCAAAGTCCCCAGCTGTCTCTATACCGCTGCTGTTGTCCGCACATTTTGCCAAAGGCCTCCGGTCCCTCCGTGACTCCGTCCTCGCTTCCGTTGACGATTCCAGCCTATTTGCCCTTGCGTCGTACCTTGCATTGCGCCGCAGTATGTTTCAGCATCGCCTGGTTGTCTGGCACGATGGCCGTGCTACCGTGCCCGCTCCAAGTGCCGTCCTCGTGCCATTGAATTCCCAAGCGCTTCTCAGCATCTCATTCCCTTCAGATATGTGTGATCGTCTTCTTGGCGTGTTGACAAGCGACACGATGGCTGCACCCACAACCAGAGACGACGTCGTGGATTTGCTCGAGCAAGTGGTGGAAGAACCCGTGAGCTTGGACCAGGACACTGCCTCGCACAAGCTGCGGGTCGATGACGCGGCAGAGCACATTCCTGTCACGGAGTGGCTCATGCGCGTGATTGCGGATGCTTTCCGCCTTGGCTTCACCCTGCAACAATCCAGCCTGGCCATGCTGTTCGATATGCAGGCTTTACCCACGCTGCCGCCACTGCCGCTGAATCAGCAGGAGTACTGGCCACCAGTTGACATCTCACCAAATGCGCCATTGACGCTCGTGTCCACGTTCAAGTGGGTCGCCGTGGACCATGGAGACAACGACACCAGCACACTGGATGAGAGTGTACGGCACGTGTGTATCGGCGCCTCAGACGCGTTTGCTGCGCTGCCCGAGGACAAGCACGTGCTGTCATGGTCACAGGTCGTCAACGTGAGTCACGATGAGGAAGCAGCACCTCCGCTGCTTGAAGCGGTGCTAGCTGACATGGATGATGCCGAAGACACCAGCGACAGGAAGCTGACAAGTATCGTGTTGCACCTCTCCTTCACCGACGTCAGCACAGACGACGCTGCTGCCTCTGCTGTCGCGTCTGCGCAACGTGCCCTTGCTGTGGTGAAGCAGATCTCGGCTGCGTCGCCATCATGCGATGTGCACGTGTGCTTGAGTGGATCTCAGGACACAGAGCATCTGTGGGCTCCAGCTATCGGCTTGTTCAAGACAGCCCAGCTGGAAATGCCCCGTCTCAGTGCTGGTGTGATCGGACTGGAAGAGCCGAGCAGCGATGCGGTCGCAGCTGCCTACGCGCATTTGTGCACCACAAGGGCAACCCTGCTTTGCACACCAAGCGGCGTTCAAGAGCTGCAGGCGGCAACGTCTGAGCGCCACGTCGAGGCAACCAACGAGGAGGCAAGCGCTTCTACTCCTGCGCCTGAAGAGCACGTATGCATCATTGCTGGTGGCGCGGGAAAACTCGGAAAGATCGTGTGCGAACGTTTGGCAAGCCAAGGCTTCAAGGTAGTGGCGCTCAGCAGGCGAAAGCCCAGTTCTGACGAGGCGAAGCAAAGCGTCGTGTCTGTCGTGTTTGAGCAGTGTGACATCACCAAGAGGGCAGACGTGGACAGTGTCCTGCAAAAGTATGCTGCAACCGGCAAGCAACTGAGCATCTACCAGTGTGCGGGGAGCTACCATGTTGGTCTGCTGAGTGGGAGCGAGTGGGCGGATGCGGAGGCGGTGCTGGCGCCCAAGATCCAGGGCACGATGAACCTGCACTGGGCGTCGCTGGAGCACAGCGTGTCGCAGTTTGTGCTGTTCTCGTCTGCGTCGTCTGTGTTTGGGTCTGTGGGGCAGGCGTTCTATGCGTCTGGCAACAGCTTTCTGGACCGGTTCCACAGCTGGCGCGTGCGGCAGGGGCTGCCGTGCACGTGCGTGAACTGGGGTCCGTGGGGCGGGTTGTACCCGGGGCACGTTGAGAAGCGATGGGCGGTTGAAGGGTATGCGCCGCTCGGGCAGGAGGAAGGGCTTTCCGTGCTTGAGGGGCTTGTGCAGGCTGATGCGAGCGACGCCGGGAGCACGGTTGTTGCGCGTGTGCTGCCTGAGGAGTTTCTCCGGGCGATGCAGGCGCCACTGCGCAGCACGGAGCTGGGCAGCGTGCGGGAGATGCTTGAGAAGGAGGTTGCTGCGCGTCGGGAGGCGCTGGCTCGCATGGGCGGCGGCAGTGGCGGCGGCGGCGGTCGTGGCTGGCGTGGCGCTGGCTCACATGCGGCGGGCACGGGCGGACGGCTCGGGGAAGCGCACAAGGCCGTTGTGACGCGGCAGGAGGTGCGCGATGGCGTGATTGGCGTGCTTGCGCAGGAGCTTGGTGGGGACGCGAAGGACATCCGTGCTGCGGCGAAGGCGAACACGCCGTTCTCTGAGCTTGGGCTGGAGTCGTTTCTTGCGATGGAGATTCGGTCGCAGCTGCAGTCGCGGTTTGCGGTTGACCTGTCTGCGACGGTGTGCTACGACTACCCGACGGTGGACAAGCTTGCTGAGCACGTGTGCAAGCTGGTTGGCGCTGTGAGCAGCGACATGGCTGGCGAGGGCGAGGTGGTGGTGAGCACGAAGACGGGGCGGCGGCTTGCGGCTGAGGCCGGGCTGGCTGGCGCGATGGCTGAGCGCAGCGGTGGAAGCGGCAGCTTTTGCTGTCGTCGTGCTGTCTGTGTGTCTGCCTGGCGGGGTGTGTGACGAGGAGGTGCTGTGGGGGGCGTTGTGTGGCGGGGAGGATCTGGTTGAGGTTGTGCCTGGGGAGCGGTGGGATGTTGATGCGTACTATGATGCTGACGGGCACGCTGAGGGGCGGATGTGGAGCCGGCGGGGCGGGTTCCTGCGCGGGATTGACGAGTTTGATGCTGAGTTTTTTGGCATCACGGGCCGTGAGGCGAGCAGCATGGACCCGCAGCAGCGGCTGCTGCTTGAGACGAGCTGGCACGCGCTTGAGAGCGCTGGGCTTGGCGGGAAGCGGCTTGGGCGTGGGCGTGCTGGGGTGTTTGTTGGTGTTTCTGGGAGCGAGTTTGCGACGCTGTGCGGGCGGGTGTCTGGTGCGAGCGCGGTTGGGGATGTGCATGCAGCGACGGGGACGGCGAGCAGCGTTGTAGCTGGGCGCGTGTCGTATGCGCTTGGGCTTGGCGGGCCGAGCGTTGCCGTGGACACTGCATGTTCGTCGTCGCTTGTTGCTGTGCATCTTGGATGCCAGTCGCTGCGCAGTGGCGAGAGCGATGTTGTGCTTGCGGGCGGCGTGAACATTGTGCTGCTGCCTGACGGCAACATCCACTTGACGAAGACGCGAATGCTGTCGAAGCAAGGGCAGTGCCGGGCGTTTGATGCGAGCGCGGACGGGTATGTGCGGTCTGAAGGGTGTGGCGTTGTTGTGCTGAAGCGGCTGGAGGACGCGGTGCGCGACGGCGACCCGATCCGGGCCGTGATCCGGGGCAGCGCGATGAACCAGGACGGGCGGTCGTCTGGGCTGACTGCGCCGAATGGCCCCGCGCAGACGGCAGTGATTGAGGCTGCGCTGCGCAGTGCGGGCGTTGCGGCTGGGGATGTTGAGATGCTTGAGGCGCACGGGACGGGGACACCGCTTGGGGATCCGATGGAGATGCAGGCGGCGATTGCGGCGCTGCGCAAGGGCGAGAGTGCGTGTGGGCGCGTGCTGCATGTTGGGTCGATCAAGTCGAACATTGGGCATGCGGAGGCGGCGGCTGGTGTTGCGGGCCTGATCAAGGCGATCCTGAGTGTTGAGCGTGGTGTGATTCCGCGGCACGTGCACTTTGAGGAGCTGAATCCTGCGATTGGGGAGCTACCGCCGAGCGTGCGTGTTGCGACGGAGACGACGGAATGGCAGAGCGAAGAGCGCGTTGCTGGTGTGAGCTCGTTTGGCTTCAGCGGCACCAACTGTCACATGGTTGTTCAGAACTACTCTCGCCCTGACACGACTGGCGCTGAGATTGACTGTTTTGATGATCAGGTCTCGTCCTTGCTCTTCTTCTCCGCTCACACCAAGGTTGCGTTGATCGAACAAATTGGCACCTTCGTCCAAAGGCTTGACCGCGAATCGGCATCTACATTCACTCGTGCCGCTCGAACCACACACGCCCGTGCTCGGTTGGACCTCTCTGTCCAGTTCGTGTTTACGTCCCTTGCAGACGCACAAGTTGGGCTTCGGTCCTGGCTGCAGTCGGCTCGATCGATCGACCACCTGGACCAGCCGCTTCTGCTTGACTTTGGTGATGTCCACTCCCGTTCTGAATCTCTGCTGTTGGCACTTCCGATGTCATCTGCATCGCCCCTGGCGAGCATGGTTGAGAGTGCGCGTGAACTCTGCCCTGGTGCGGATGAGCAACCGCTTGTCGAAGACCTGTGCTTGACGCGTCTCATCGCAGAGCAAGGCCTTGCGGTTTCAGTGGTGAACCACCCGCAGGCAGATTTGCTGAATGCCTGCACGCAATCATCTGTCACGCTGGAGTCGCTTCTACTGCAAATTTCCACCGCAGCTGAGGCTCCACATTCACCTGATGCCACTGTTGGCACTTCCTTTTCTGCTGACGCACTGCTGAAGATGCTGTCTTTCCATGGCCAGGTGACAGGCACGGATTGCACTGCGACCGCGCAACTGGCGGGCTTGTCCACCGACACTCCTCGCAAGGCAAGCGATTGGGTTCACCTCCCCGCGTACCCATTTCAGCACCAGCGGTACTGGATCCACAGTGACAAACCTGTGCACATTGGATTGGTTGATGACCGCTTGGTTCTGTCGGAGGTGCCGGGTCTGAAGGACGACACCGTCGCCACAACAGTGACTGCGGAGGATGAGAAGACCAAGGTCACGGAGCTGTCGGACGTTGCTGCGGAATGGCTCATCATGGATTCGACAAACGCCTGCGATGCACAAGCGCTTGCGCTGCCTGCTGAACGGGTGATCGTCGCTGACGACCATGTGCTTGACAGCGCATGGGACTTTGATGGTGCCCGGACCATTGCCTTGGCGTGCTCCACGGTTGAGAAAGCCGAGCAACTGGTGTTCTCCGTGCTGCATGATGTCTCATTGGGCCCAGGTCCATCACCAGCGATGACCGTGCTGTACTGTGCTCAACCTGTGTCCATGTGGACGCCGATTCGCAGCATGGTGCAGACCGCACGCTTGGAGCTCGGGCTCACCATCCGCGAACTTGCACTGGATGCAGACGAAGTACCAGGCAAGCTTAGGCCCCTTGCCACACTTGAATCCGGCCTTTCAGCGATGACACCCACCTTGGCGTGGCCACGTATGCCTGGGTGGCTGTCCGTGCCGCGCACGGCGCTCATCACGGGCGGATCTGGAAGCCTCGGCCTTCAGACGGCGTGGGTTCTGGCTGAGGAAGGGTTTGCGCGCGTGGTGCTGATGGGGCGTCGATCCACGAAAGCCCTGTCCCCTGAAACGCGGGACGCAATGGAGCACATGCAGTTGCGCTTTGGCACGAAGGTCTCGTACGTGTCACTTGATTTCACTGCAAGTGATTCAGAGATGCAGGATGCAATGCGGAGTCTTGCAAGCGTGTTGGGCGATGCACGCACCATTGATTGCATTGTGCATGCTGCAGGCATCAACAAGGACAAGCCCTTCTCCAGCCTGACATGGGATGATGTGACTGCTGTTCGCTCAAGCAAGGGCAAGGCCCTTGACGTCCTGTTGCGCCAGCTGGCCACGGCTGACATCGCTGTGGGCATGGCCCTGTTGTATTCGTCAATCAGCGCTGTGTTTGGCGCGCGCGGGCAAGCGAACTACAGCCTGGCCAATGGAGAGCTCATTGCCCAGGCAGCGTCTCTCACTGCCGCTGGAACCCCCGCGTGTGCCATCTGCTGGGGACCCTGTGCCAACTCGGCCATGGTGGACAGCTTGACAGCTGCCCACATCGCACGCATGCGAGCGCATGGTGTTGACCTGCTGTCTGTCAGCGAATTTCGCACGGCCCTGCGCCAGGCGCTGGCAACGGTGGCAACATGCGGCGAGGCCACCAAACCCACTGCACTTGTGGCCTATGCCAAATGCGATGGTGATGCGCAGGCAGAGGAGACACCAACAAAGGCACAGCAGGAGTCTGCCAGAGCTGAAGCGTGGAACGAAGAGGATCTTGTCACGGAAATGTCCGACATTGCCCGCACAGTGTTGTGTTTGCGAGGTGAGGTTGGAGATCCGGATGAAACGACCTTTGGAGACTTGGGCGTGGACTCGCTGCTGGCGGTTGACATCCAGAAGGAGGTGCAGGAGCGCTTTGGCGTAGCCGTCACAGCGACGTTTGTGTATGATTACCCAACGCTGCGCGAAGCAGCAAGGCACGTGCGGTCGCTGCTGTCATCTGTCACTCCCGCTGTCAGTGGCGACATGTCACTGGTGCCGTTCCGACACAGCCAGGAGATTGCGGTTGTTGGCGTTGGGCTGCGGTTTGCCGGATGCGACGACGAGGCGTCGTTCTGGCGCATGCTGGAGGGCGGGGCGTGCACGGTGTCGACGCTGGCATCGCACGCCGGGCAGCGCACGTGGCAGCTGCAGCGGCCCATCAGCCAGGGCGGCGTGCTGTCGGACGTGAAGAGCTTTGACGCTGCGCTGTTCAACATCTCCAACCGGGAAGCCGTGAGCATGGACCCGCAGCAGCGGATCATGCTTGAGACTTACTACCGCGCGCTGGAGAGTGCTGGGATGAACGCTTGAGCAGGCGCGCGCGGTGCGGACGGGGGTGAGGATTGGGTCTGTGAGAACGAGTACCACAAGGTGCTTGAGCATGAGCGTGCAGCGGGGACGCTATGAGGCGCAGGCTGGGCACATGATCACGGGGAACCCGAGCAGTGTGCTTGCTGGGCGCGTGTGCGTATGCGCTTGGGCTCAAGGGTCCGAGCGTTCTTTGTGGACACTGCATGTTCGACGTCGCTTGTTGCTGTGCATCTTGGATGCCAGTCGCTGCGCAGTGGCGAGAGCGATGTTGTGCTTGCGGGCGGCGTGAACATTGTGCTGCTGCCTGACGGCAACATCCACTTGACGAAGACGCGAATGCTGTCGAAGCAAGGGCAGTGCCGGGCGTTTGATGCGAGCGCGGACGGGTATGTGCGGTCTGAAGGGTGTGGCGTTGTTGTGCTGAAGCGGCTGGAGGACGCGGTGCGCGACTGCGACCCGATCCGGGCCGTGATCCGGGGCAGCGCGATGAACCAGGACGGGCGGTCGTCTGGGCTGACTGCGCCGAATGGCCCCGCGCAGACGGCAGTGATTGAGGCTGCGCTGCGCAGTGCGGGCGTTGCGGCTGGGGATGTTGAGATGCTTGAGGCGCACGGGACGGGGACGCCGCTTGGGGATCCGATGGAGATGCAGGCGGCGATTGCGGCGCTGCGCAAGGGCGAGAGTGCGTGTGGGCGCGTGCTGCATGTAGGGTCGATCAAGTCGAACATTGGGCATGCGGAGGCGGCGGCTGGTGTTGCGGGCCTGATCAAGGCGATCCTGAGTGTTGAGCGTGGTGTGATTCCGCGGCACGTGCACTTTGAGGAGCTGAATCCTGCGATTGGGGAGCTACCGCCGAGCGTGCGTGTTGCGACGGAGACGACGGAGTGGCAGAACCCTGAGGCTGATGATGGTGCACCTTTGCTTCTCGCTGATGGCTCTGGAGCTCGTTTGCTTGGTCACCGCATCGCTGGTGTAAGCTCGTTTGGCTTCAGCGGCACCAACTGCCACGTTGTGGTTCAGAATACGCATTTGCTCGACACCGAGTCCCTTGCTGCGCCACCGCCGATTCCCCTCGTGTTCTGCTTTGGCAGCCCCTCAGCCGCACACACCTCTCATCGCCTGCGCCAGTGCATGGCCGGCCTCTCGTCGTCGGACAACGCTGTTGACTTGTTGGGCCTGTGGCTATTTCTCGCTGACAACACCTCCGACTTTGCGCCTGAGGTCGTGATTGTTGCTCGCACGCGCCAGGACTTCTTGACGGCTGCGTCGACCATCCTCAGCTCGAGCGATGATGCGGAAACCAAGCTTGCCGTGCGCGTGAGCCACGAGGATGAGCTGCTGCAGCAAGGCGTGTCACCCTTTGACGTGTTTGACGTCTCTGGCCTGGACGACTGGAAACGCGTGCTTCCCTGGATTGAAACCACAGCGGACGCTGCGACGGTTGCAGAATTGGCATCCGCATTGCCGCTCTCGGAGTTCCTTGGCCGCGTGCTCATCCCACACCTGCAGTCTGAGGTGTCGGACGAGTCCTCCACATCGCCGACGGCGCTGCACGACGTGAACCGTCGCGTGTTGGCACCGGTAGTGCAAGAGCTGCTGCATCTTGGCGGCACGGGCGCGACCCTGGCTGACATTCGCCGCACCTCCAGCTACAGCAAATGGACGACGCAGTTCATGTCCAAGCGATACTGGCTCACGCCTGGTCCAGGCCTGACGCCAGAGTGTGCTGCGATGGATACGATGCACACGCTGGAATGGACGACCACGCCGCTTCCGCTTGAACCTCGCGTCACCGCCCGCCGGGAGCGCGCACCCAAGGGGGTGGTGCTGCTTGACCTGTTTGGTGCTGCCGACGATGCCCTGCGAAGCGAGTTGCCCCATCGCGTGGATGTGCTTTGCAAGGACGGCACTGCGTGCTCTGTGAGCAAATGCAGCCTGGCTAGCGCCAAGGGCAGCACAACAGCGACGTTGACGACGTCGTTCGATCTGGCGCCGGCCGACGTGACGCCTCAGCGCGTGTTCGCCCTGCTTTCTCCTCGGTCCCTTGGCTGGACTGCGGTGCAAGCTGCGGTGGTGTGCGTGCCACAGCTTACCGCGACCGTCAGCATGGCGGCGGTCGTGCAACAACTGTACCCGTGGCTGCTCAAGTGCATCCAGGAGGGAGTGCGCCTGCGTGTGCTGGTGCCGGAGACGCTTGGCTCGTCAGCCAGCTCTGGCCGTGCTGTTCGCAAGTGGCAGGCGCTGACCGCGGCTGTTCGCACCGCCTGTCTTGAGCAGCAAACTGTGGATCACGCTGTGGTGTTTGTTGGGGCTGGCGTTGCGCAGCGTGACCTGGCCAGCGTGCTTCTCGCTGTGGACGACCTGCCACCCGTGACGGGCTTGGTTGCCAGCACTTCCCCGAACAAGGGCATGGATGCGGTATACTTGGAGCCGCGCGCTGTTCCCCTGTCCCAGAGCAGTGCCTTGACGCAGGGCAGGCTTGTGCCCTCGGCGCACGCGACTGCGCCAGGTGTCGCAACTGGTGACGTGGCTGAGGTCGTGCTTGTGACGGGTGGCTCTGGTGCACTGGCACAGGTGGCGCGGGACACGCTGGCGCAGCAGTGCTCGTTGTTGGTGCTGCTGACGCGTGCGGAGTGTGCTGCCGCACAACCGCTGCCACGCGGCTATCTCCGTGGGCATGTGGTGTCGATGACGTGCGACATCACGGACCCGCGCAGCGTCAGGCTCTTGCTTGTTCGCTTGGGCAGCCTGGTGAAGAAGACACAACCGCAGCGGCGGATTCGGGTGACGAGCGTCGTCCACACGGCTGGGTGCACGCGCGATGCCCCCATCCGCCACCAGACGCCGGACCTGTTTGAGGAGGTGATGCAGCCGAAAGTGGCTGGTCTGCGCATCCTGCTGCAGGAGCTGTTTTCGTGCGGGCACAGGTGTGAGAGCGTGCTACTCTTCTCGTCTTCCAGTGCCGTGCTGGGCAGCCCGGGCCAGCTCAACTATGCCGTTGCCAATGCGCTGGCAGACGCAACTGCACGCGAGCTTGTGCCCAACACGCACACGATCCACTTTGGGCCTTGGGACCCTGCCGTCGGTGGCATGACGGCGCAGCTGTCGTTGGCCAACAGGGTGCGCATCGAGAGCCATGGCATGGGCTTCATCACGGAGGCGCAGGGCAAGCTGGCGCTCGCCAGCCTGTGGGCGACATGTCGCCCCGGCCGTGCTGACGAGTTTGCGGAGCAGGTCACCTGGCAGGAGGTTGCGTGCATTGCGCTTGCCCAGACATCACCTCTCACGCCCAGCGCAGGTGCTGCTGACACGCAAAGGCCAGCAGCGGCCACCTCTCACGCCGCAGTTGCAACAGGGGCGCACCCAGCAGCCGGTGGCGGCCCGTCAGATGTACGAGAGCTTGTTGCTCGGCTGCTCGGCATGGATGTTTGGGACTTGGATGACAAGTCGCCGCTGCTCGCGTTTGGTCTTGATTCGCTGGTGGCGGTGGAGCTCCAGGGACAGCTGCAGCGGCTGTTTGGCGTCACGCTGTCCTCTGACGAGCTGCTGAGCCCGAGCTGCTCCGTCTCGTTCCTCGCTCGGGAACAGGCCGTCGCAGCAGCCCGCAAGCAGCAAGAGGCGGAGGCGGAGGCGTGGGCAAGCGAGGCAACAGCCACAGCACCCACACCAGCGCAAAGCGGCGGCATTGTGGGGTTTGTCCCACCAACGCCCACCGCCGCTGCTGCCGCCGCCAGTGGAGGTGGACTGGAGGCGGCAGACTTTGGCGTGCTGGAGTTGCTTCGCAGCCTTCCTCTAGCGCCCGCGCTGCTGTCAGACATTGACTCGCTGTTGTCCAAGCTGCGTGGGCCCACAGCCATCCCTGCTGGTCCCCTGAGCGGTGGCGGGCGCGCGGCAACCCCAACGGCCGTGCAGCTGCTGGACCGGTACGGTGCACGGTTTGGGCGGGGGCGATCCGGGTCGCGAACACCAACACCGCAGCCGCGCACGGCCTCCCCTGCATTCAGGCCGCCACAGCTGGCGTCCAGGCTGCACCACGTTCAGCAGCAACAGCAGCAGCTGCAGCTGCTGCAGCAGCAGGGTCAGTACCACCCATCCACATCTGATGCGGGTTCGGAAGCTGCTGTTCGCAGGCCTGGTGGTGTGCTGACAGAGCTGTCACTGAACCAGCGTGCCATGTGGTATCTGTGGAAGACCCTCCCCCAGGCAGATGCGTACAACATCTGCTACGTTGCGCGTGCGCGGCAGAAGCTGGACGTTGCTCGCTTGGAGCAGAGCCTTGCCGCTGTCGTGGACCACCACGCTTGCCTGCGACAGGTGTTTGATGAGGAGACGGGAGATCCGAGCACGCTGACGGTTGCCGATGCCCTCCGCTTCACGACCCGACCCATTCCAGGCGTGGGCCACGACCAAGATGTGGCAGCAACAACAACTGCAGCTTCGACAGCAGAAGAAACGCCGGAGCAGGCAGTGCTGCGTGCCGTGGCCCAAGTCCTGCGGCAGCAATGGTCGCTCTCTGAGGGCCCTGTTGTGGACTGCATGGTGTTTGCAAATGCCACGGAGCAGTACGTGGCCTTGTTTGTGCACCACATCTCTGCCGACTTTGTTGCGCTGCACACACTTGCGGAGGAGTGGATGGCGCTGTACGCTGGCCGCTCTGCGCTGCCATCCGGTGCGGTGGAGCCGACATACAAGGACTTCATTGCCTGGCAGGCGCAACAGCAGGTGGCCCTGCGCGATGCCGCCCTCTCCTACTACGAGGCGGAGCTGAGCCGCCTGCCGGCAGACCGGTCCCAGTTGCCGCCCGAGCTGCGTGCGGGCGACGAGGACAGCGGTGACGTTGACGGTGGCGGTGGCGCTGATCACGGCCACTCCGTGCAGTTCACCCTGCCACGCACGGAAGGGGATGCCCTGCTTGCCACCAGCAGGCAGCAGCACGTGACGGTGTTTGCGCTGCTGTTGTCGCTGTATCAGCTCGTGCTGTCGCACGCGGCCAGCGAGCGTGAGCTGTGCGTGCTGTGCCCGACCGCGGGTCGCCCCGCCGAGTTTCGGCAGGTGGTGGGGCACTTCATCAACACGGTGCCCGTGCACACAACGGTGGACATGTCACGCACGCTTGCCCAGCACGTGCAAGCGGTGTTTGCAGGTGTGCAGCGCGCCATGCGCTTCCAGCACTTTTTCTTCTCCAACGTGGTGCGTGCCATGCCCCATGTGCGGCGGGCAGGTGCCAGTCAGCCCATCAGCGACGTGGCCCTCAACTTCTTTGACACCGGCGGCCTGCGCAGTCACGGCGTGCGTGGCGACAGTGGTGCGAGTGGGACGAGTGGTGCGAGTAGTGCGCTGGAAGCCTTGACTGTGGCCCAGCAGATGACTGCGTTCGCGCTGATGCTTCATGTGGTTCGCAAGGGTGACGGCGAGTGGCACGTTGAGCTGCGCTCCCGAAAGAGCACCGCGGCAGCCCGTGAGTGCCTGGCGCGTATGTCGTGGCAGCTGGAGACGGTGATGCGGCGACTCGCAGCAAACCGCGAAGGCGTGCTTGCAGGCAACATTGGGCACACCATGGTGCAGGCGGACGTGCTGAGCCTGTATCGCTTCCAGCCACAGCACGAGCACCAGCTGCTGCATGAGCTGTCGCGGCAAGGCCTGGAGCGCGGCGCATGTTCGCTGTCGGACCTGGCCGTCGCCGACGAGGACGGCGAGCTCACGGTTGCCGAGTACCTGTGGCTGGCCAACCGCGTGCATGCGTGGCTGACGGACAAGGGCCTGCCCAAGGGCACCCCCGTGGGGCTGGACATGCCCAAGTGCCGGTATCAGCTGGCTGCGGCCGTGGGTGTGCTGCAGGCTGGCTGTGCGTTTGTGCCGTTCTCGGGAACGTGGCCGGATGAGCGCACGGCGCTGGTGCGAGACAAGTGCGAGCTGCGGGTTGTGCTGTCGATTCGCGGCGCCGGTGCCCCCGCTCTGCAAGGACTGGAGCGCATCGAGCTTGACGCGTTGCACGAGGACCTCCGGACGCAGCTCGGCGCTGCGAAGGGCACGAGCTTGGTCGGCTCGAGCCTGGTGGCTGATGCCAAGCTGGTTGAGCCGCTGGTGCCGTTTGCGCAGGTGATGCCAGAGGACCCGGCGTACATCCTGTTTACCTCGGGCAGCACGGGCACGCCCAAGGGGGTGGTGGTGCAGCATGGTGGCGCGTGCAACACGGTCATCAACACGGCAGACGTGTTTGGCATGTCAGCCCTGGAGCGTGGGTTCCGCGTGTTTGCCATCACGCAGCTGACGTTTGATCTTGCCATCTTTGACACGTTCTCAGCGCACATGTGCGGTGGTGCCGTGATTGTGCCAACGGACCGCATCAGCCGGGACCCCGAGGCGTGGGTGGACCTTTGCCACAAGTACCAAGTGACCACGTGGAACAGCGTGCCTGCGTTTGCGCAGATGCTGTGCGAGTACTGCGAGACGCTTGAGCTGCGTGCGCCGTCCATCCGGCACTTTATGCTCAGCGGCGACTTTGTGCCGCTGCCGCTGCCTGCACAGCTGCGCCGCGTGACCACGCCGGAGTGCGCTGTGCTCGCGCTTGGTGGGTGCACGGAGACGAGCATCTGGAACAACTTCTTTGACGTGAAGGAGGTGTGTGACGACTGGCGCACCATTCCCTACGGGTACTCCTTGCCCGGACAGCGGGTGCTTGTGCTGGACGAGAACCTGCAGCCGTGCGCCGTGGGCGAAGAAGGGCAGCTGTACATTGCCGGCGACAGCGTGGCCATTGGCTACTACAAGTCGCCAGACCTCACGCGCCGCGCGTTTGTGCCCCTGCCAGGGTGCCTGTTGAACGAGGATGGCGAACTTGCCAGCACCGCCGGAGAGGGCGCATGGCCGGGCTCGGCTGTGCTTGGACTGAGCGAGTGGGAGAGGGTGCTGCCACGGCGGCTGTACGCGACGGGTGACCGTGTTGTGCTGCTTTCTGACGGCGCGCTGTCGCTGCTGGGGCGCATCGACTTCCAGGTGAAGATTGGCGGCTTCCGCGTGGAGCTGAATGAGATTGACGCGCACCTGTCGCGCTTCCCCGGCATCCACACGTCATGCGTGGTGGTGATCAACAAGCAGCTGGTGGCGTACTTTTGCACCAAGTTGCCCACGACAGCCACACCAACTGCAACAACTGCAACAGCAGGGGGCGCAGAAGGAAGCGCGCAGACGCCAGCAGAGGGGCGCCCGGAATGGAGCACGGAGGCGTTGGTGGAGTTCCTGCGCACGAAATTGCCAGACTACATGGTGCCTGAGCGATACATTGAGCTTGAGTCGTTGCCGCTGAACGTGAACGGCAAGATTGACCGCAAGATGCTGATGAAGCCCGAGTTTGCGGCTGAGGCGGCGACGGCCGGGCGCGCGCACGAGGTTGGCCCTTCGTCTGGCGTGTCTGATGCTGGGGAGCAGGTGCTTCGGGTGTGGCAGGACGTGCTTTTGTCTGGACTGCCCATCCCTGATGTGCGCGTTGTGCTGAAGGAGACCATCAAGCAGGCGGGCGGCGATTCGCTGTCGACTGTCATGTTTGTGTCGCGGCTGCGCAAGCAAGGCTTTGCCCTCAGCTTGCAAGCGGTTGGTCCAGACACCACGCTGGAACAAGTCATTGCTCTTGTCGAACGCAAGCAGAGCAAGGCCTGAGGGTGTGTGTGTGTGGTAGGGGGGGGGGAGTGTGTGGGTGGGTGTATGGGTGTATGGGTGTATGGGTGTGTGTGTGTGTGGTGGTGGTGGTGCGCGCGCGCGCGCGGGAAAAGCGCTCATTTGTCAAGAGACCCAGGCAGCAGACACAGCTCCCAGGACGGCTTGAGCCGTGTGGAGACACACGGGCAGGGCTGACGGGTCGCAAAAGACTCGAAAGCACTGGGAGTGCGCGATGATGGTACAGGAGACGCAATGCGGTTACCAATATCGGCAGTGTCGATACATTCCCAACCCCCACAGAGTACTGAAAAAACAACCCGCGATTCAATCGTTCTAACACCCCGGCGTGTGTCGGCTTCGATCTAAACCAGTCTCAATTGGCCATACTTGCTCTGCTGGCTAAATCATAACGCTGCTTAGCCCGATAAGGCCTCCGGGGGGTATGTACGATAGAGGAGGGCTTAAAGGGAAAACAGAAAGCTGTACCATAGATCAACTGATTATAAGGGGGGGGGGAGGGTGTGTGGGTGGGTGTATGGGTGTATGGGTGGTATGGGTGTGTGTGTGTGTGTGGGTGTGGGTGTGCGCGCGCGCGCGCGTGAGTGTGTGTGTGTATGGGTGGGTGTGTTGAAGGAGAGAAGGTGCGTTGCTTGGGTGTGCTGAGGGATTAATGTTCTTCAGAGGGTGCGACACTTGTGAGATCTTAGACATGGATTGGTGGACGGAGTGTGTTTTCCCTTGTTTCTGATATGCTTCCATTTGTCAACTAGAAATGTGATTTGCTTCGTTTGCTTCGCATTGTGTGTTGTGTGTTCATCGCTCTTACTTGCTCTGACTCTCTTTCTTTCTTACTGATTTTCTTTTCATGTGAGCGTCGTGTGGGGTGTTGAGGCCACTGCGGCGGCCCATCTTACTCGTTGCTGTGCATTTGCTTGAGCGGGAACTTGCATGTGCACGAGGTAGCAAGGAGAAGATGCCGCCTGTCTCTGTGGGCAACCGCGGTGCCCCATTACACGTTGCTCGATGTGTGGTTTGAGTTTGCCTGATGTGAATAAGCCACTGTCAGTGTTGTTTATCATCATCTGTGTTTTCATCTCGCATGTGGTCATTTTAGCCATTCGAACATCACTTACTGTATCATGTACTCACTCGCACATTGTACCGCGAAAACGATATGGCAAGTCAGAGGTGGAGATGTAACACAAACAGAAACAAAGCGAGAGAGAAAGAAACAGAAAAGGAAACAGGACACAGCACAACACAAGCTTGTTGTTGCTCGATGTGTGGTTTGAGTTTGCCTGATGTGAATAAGCCACTGTCAGTGTTGTTTATCATCATCTGTGTGTTTTCATCTCGCATGTGGTCATTTTAGACATTCGAACATCACTTACTGTATCATGTACTCTCACTCGCTCATTGTACCGCGAAAACGATATGGCAAGCCAAGGGTGGAGATGTAACAGAAACAAGGCAAGAGAGAAAGAAACAGAAAAGGAAACAGGACACAACACGACACAAGCTGAACGCTCGTGATTGTCTGACGCATGAGGCCAACAACCACAGATAGTTAGAACACAACATGTCGCAGACAGCGTTCTCCCAACTCCGACTGCTCCAACGCCTCAGCATCAAAGCCTTTGCTGTCAAGCAGAGCCAGCCACTCGTCAAGAAACTCAATGCGAAGCTCGTTCATGAAGTAGTCGTGCCTCGTCCCGTGCACAATGTCGTGGAAGTGGGCCAGCTGAAGGAATGCGGGGTGCGATGTGGGGTGCATGGGTGAGACGCAGAAGGCTGAGGAGTGAGTTGCAACGGTAGCAGCGTGAATGGTCAACGAAGTGGGGCATGCAGGGGTTTAGTGAGAGCAGCAAGCAGTGTCCCGCAACTCACACGGCATGTACCATGCGTCCACACATACACACATGCACACACATGCACACACATGCACACTGAGTAAGTCGCATGCGTCCACGCATGCACGCATGTGCACACACCTTGTGAATGTGAAGGCCATAGAAGTACATGTAAGCAAAGGGGTCGCTGGCCACGTCCTGCACGCCGTGCGCCTTTGCATGCTCTTCAATGGGCCAGATGTTGTACAGCAGCTTCTGCTTGATGAACCGTGACTGGGCCTCCTCCTAGCGATGGGTGAATGGGGATGAGCTCATGTCAAGGTTTCAAGGATAGAACCCCCAAAGCAAGCGAGCTGTGACAGGGAAACGAAATGTGCAGAAACAACCACACACATACACACACACACACACATACACAAACAAACAAACAAACAAACAAACAAACAAACAAACAAATAAATAAACAAATAAACAAATAAACAAATAAACAAACAAACAAACAAACAAACAAACCTGGTAGAAGAGTGTGACGTATCTGGCGTCATAGGAAAACACGTCTGAAACTTCTTTGAGAATGCGCACGCACTGCTGAAAGAGTTGCAAGCGGCCTTCTGCAATCTGGTTCCTCGAGTGAAAGATCGCCACCCCTGCGCATTTGAACGGTGCATGGCGAAGCCAACAGTTAGCAAAAAGGTGAACAAGACATTGAATGAAGCAGTGCAGAACAACACAGAAACAATAACGGGTGTGGCGCGCAACGTGAGTGCAAGCACTGACCGTCAATGTTGGTGAGACGAACGAGATCGTATCCGCGACGCACACGCGTGGACACTTCCACGCTGGCGTTTCGCAAACGTGCATCCTGTCCCGCCTCAGGCACCGGAAATCCCTGCACGTGGAGGGCGGCAAACAAGGTCATGTCGGGGTAGGTCGAGGAGGACACGGGCGCATATCACACACACACACACACACATCACACATCACATACATCACACACGCACAAACACACACATCTCACACATCACACATCACATCACACACACAATCTGGTGCGCAACGTACGGCCTCGACGAGGACGTCGTCAACACCGGGCTCCTCTGGCTCCAGTGTCGTGCGCAGATGCTCGTAACGATCCTTCAACTGCGCCACAACCGCCTCCTCTTTCTCCAGCCACTGTGGGTCCAGTGGCTCATACCGCTGGCGTTGCACGGGCTGCCCTGCCAAAGCTGTCATGCAATGCGACGTGTGAGAATGTGTGTGTGTGTGTGTGTGTGTGTGGATGGAGCGCGAATTCAAGATGAGCGCATGTTCGCCAGCAGGAACACAAAATGCCAAATGCAACTGTGTTACGCACGCATACGCACACACGCACACACACACACACACGCACACACACACACACGCACACACACAAACAAACAAACAAACAGAAATGCAATCGGCATGATTCTATGCGTGTACAACACCGCACCGTCTTTGAACTCCTGGCGAATGGCGTCTTCTGCCTCTTGTTTTGTCTCGTCGTAGTCCTCACCAATCACCGCCGCTGCCTCCCGCTCAACATCCTCTGCAGGTGCAGTTCTCTCCGACGAACGGTCTCTGCCGGTAGTCGCCGACGCAGCTGCGCTTGCATGTGCAGTGCGTTTTCGTCGGGCGGCGGCAGCAGCATCCCGCACAGCCTGTGCATGCTCATCCGCTGTGCCAAAAAAAAAAAAAAAAAAACGTCATGCACACACACACACACACACACACACACACACACACACACACACACACACACACACACACACACACACATTCGTACACGCGCACAGGCACAGGCAGAGGATTATACACGCAACCACAAGCAACATCATGTGAGAAGGTGGCACGCGCAAGTACAACGACGGCAATTGAAACAAACAAGCAATGTCATGACAAACGCCCACCAACATGAATACGCTGCGCCGGCACCACGTACCTTGCATGACGCGGAACATCTGGCCAGGCGCTGCGTCAAGCGTGGTGCCATCCGACAACTCAATGTGCGCAGTATCGTGCTCTGGGTCGAAGTCCAGCAGCACGCCGTGAACATGCAACCCGTCCGCTTGTCGGCGCACCACCACGTCACCGCCAAGCGGAAATGCAATCAGCTGACTTGGAGTGAGCGGCGCCAGGCGATCCAGCTCGCTCGCGTCTGCCGTCTTGAGTGCCTCGCCCAGCTCATCAGCTGACACCTTGGTCACGTGCAGGAAGTCCAGCGTCTTTTCCACTTCGTGGGATGCTGACTCGAGGACCTTCTCAAGCGTCTACGAGCGAGCACGAAACCGTAAGACCATGCAAAGCAGGTGTGGAGAATGGCCGTTTCAGCTGCTGGTGAGCAGAAAAGAAGGGCGTTGGAGTTGGGTGCGCACACAGCAAACCCATGCACAAGCACACGTATGTGGACGTACAACCTTGTGCACGTACAAGCACATGTGCACCCAGACACTCGCAAGCATCTTCACACGCGCGCACACACGTAGACACATAAACACATTGCACACACACACGCACACACACACGCGCACACACACACACACACGTAGACACATAAACACATTGCACACACACACACACACACACACACACATGCACACGCAGACCTGTAGGTTGTGGACGGTCGAGTCGAGAAAACGGTTGAGAGTCATGATGAGCGCTGAGAGGCGCATGAAGCGAGGAAACGAGGTGTCGAGATAGAAGACCACCCGCTCCCTTCCTTCTTGATCTGGCACACGCGCCGCCACGCAGGGGGACCCGCGTGACTGCCTCGTGATGTCCTGTCCAGTGGAGAGAAGAAGGAATTCGCTCTCAACAAAGTTGACGGGCACAATCTCCGCCCGCTGCAGCCGAACCAGCTGAGCGCGCAGCTGCTGTTTGCTGTTGCGTTGGCTGGACGCCTGGGCCGAAGCTGCACCCGGCGCCTGAGGAAGCGACATGTCGCTGCCTGCATCTCCTCCTCCTCCTCCTCCTGCTGTTGTCATTGCGCGGAATGGGAGGGAGACAGACTCGTGGGCGACGATCCTCAACACCGCAATCCGAAACTCGCGGCTCCGCTGATGAAACAGACCGGGTGAACAGTGGCACACAGGAATTGTGCAGGTCGTGAGCAGGATGAACACGCACACGGACAGGCCATGTGTGTGTGCGTGTGTGTATGTGTGTGTATATGTGTGCGAGTGTACGTGAAGGTAATAGCTGGATGCACATGAAAGCTGTGCAAGGGTGTACTTGCACTAGCATGCGTGTGCGCACATGTGCGTGATAACACCATGAAAGTACGCTTCATTGCGTGTGTGTGTGTGTGAACAATGTACCAGCGTGGTTTGCCAAGTTTGACATTGGCTGACGATGTTTGCGCTGCGGTCTCGAACGGCTTCGGGTGCGTAGTTTGCATGCAGGCGCTCCTCCACAGCTGTGGTGCGAGTGGACGCGTCATGAGAGACAGACACAGCGACAGGTACGGGTCATGTTTGCACGACAACAGCACAACAGAAGCAGCAAGGGAAAGATGCAGCAGCGACACACTGGAAACAGTAAGCAAGTGAGTGTCAGCTACAACGGCAACAACGCGTCTTCATACAGGCATCAGAGAGCCCCTTCTCACCCTGGCTGAGGCCGAGGATGCCAATTCTCTTGGCGATGGTGGCGATGCGTGGATGAACGGAGAAGATGCTTGAAGTGTCAATTCGATTCCTCAACCATGGCGCATCGTCAACCACCACAAACTTGGCTGGCATCAGCTTGTTCTGGGCCGTCAGTGCTGGAGAAGCCCGCATCACGCACGCGTGCAGTACAAGCAGGTTCAAAACACAAAAGAAAACAACAAATCAGTCATGACACCTACGAAGTAGGCTGGAAAACGAAGAACAGCACACACCTGCGCAGAATACACACACACACATTGGATTAACACACACACACACACACACACACACACACACACACACACACACACACACACACACACACACACACACGCGCGCGCGCGCGCGCACACACACACACGCACACACACACACACGCACACACACTCTCTCTGTCTCGCACCAAAAAAGTATTCTTGGCTGGTGACATTGTGTGCTTTGATGATGGCTTCGTGTTTTTCTGTCAAAGGAGGAGAGGGGAAAACACATGAGGTGAGCGAAACGTGTTACAGCAGGAGTAGCAACATGAACGTGGTGTGCTATCATTCCGTGGAAACCGAAGATTGACCCATTTCACATGGCATGGACGCACAGGCAAGCAGTGGCACCGAACACGAGCAATGCGCACCAAGGAGGCCGAAAATGTGCGTGACATATTGGGTTGTCTTGTCATCCAAAGGCTCGCCCTGAGCGAAGCACACACAGTGCTTAGGGTCAGTGCAATGAAAACAAGTAAAACAGCGTGGCTGGCAACTGCACCGGAGAAAGTCGTGTCCACCTGCAAGCACACACACACACACACACACACAGACACACACACACACACACACACACACACACACACACACACACGCACACACACACGCACACGCACACACACACACACACAAACCACAAATAACGACCAACCTGTGCGCGCTGTGCGTACTGGGCAAGCCAGCGAACAAGATCCTCCAGGGACGGCGCCTTGCGCACGCCCATGGCATCAAGCAGCGCATTGTCCTCCATCGCGCTGCGGGTTAGCATGGATGTCGGGTAGGCAAACGGCGGCAGCCCAGGTGGCAGCAGCTCGTCAAACACGCAACTTGCGCTCACAAAAATTGGCTTCAGCCGCGGGCGCGCGGTGACCGGGTCTGTCTCGGAGTGGTCCATCACGAGCGCCAAGTTTCCCTCCTGCAGCAGCTGCTTCACCTCGGCCACAGGCTGCTCCTCAAGCAGCTGGGAGAAGAAGCGGTAGCACGGCCACACGAGGTTCTCCACATTTCGAAAGCGCATCCAAGTGGTAAACTTGCGCAGCACATCCTATATCGTTTTCGAGGCAAGCAACGGCGCAACGGCGCAAGGGCAGATGGCGTGAGCGAGAGGTGAAGGGCAGTGCACACACACACACACACAACACAATCACACACACACACAACACAATCACACACACAACACAATCACGCACACACAACCACACGCTCTCTCCCTCTCTTTCTCTCTCTCTCTCTCTCTCTCTCTCTCTCTCTCTCTCTCTCTCTCTCTCTCTCTCTCTCTCTCTCTGTCACTCACTGATACGCTGGCAGTGCGACACACTGGCTTACACTTTCAAGAGCCGAACAGAAGCGGAGGTGTTTTGCGACTGTTTCGGGTGTTGCAGAGCACCCCTCAATCACCCTCAGCGAATACTGAGGCGGCGTGATGGGAACTTGGCTCCACACTGCGAGGGTGTGAATGAGCAGGTGTCGTGCGCAAATGAGCAACTTGTTTGCATGCAGGCATAAGACGTCATGCGGTGATTGACGACCAATCCCACAACAGGTTCAGTCATGTCATGCGTTTTCAGATTGAAGAAAACCATCGTTGGTGCGACACGTAACACAATGGTATCGAGCAACACAGGTCTACCAGTCTGTGCGCACTCACCGAGAAGGCTGTTCTCCTTGCTTGAAGGGATGAAGATTTCCGAGGGGCAGTACCAGGCCGCGCAATCGTATGGCAGCAGCGCCTGCAGCTGCGGATCTTGAGGGACGTCGGGATACAGGAAGGGGATGGAGGCGAGGGCGGTGGAGAGGGTGGGGTCCCGCTCAAACGTCGAGCCGTGTAGACTGACGAAGCGGAGAATGGCATCTGTCATGCGTTGGCTCTTTTCCTCGGCAGCCATGCGGGCAGCAGCAACGATCACATTTGGCGTCACCGTCGTCACCAGCCCCGCGCGTTCCGCAAACGGAACAAACCACCGCCTTCCCGCAACCTTCTCCACATCCACCACGCGCTGAGGAAACAGGTCGTAGAAGAATGACACCGACGCATACGCGTCCGTGGGCGCCACCACCTCGCCTGATCGCACGGGCACAAACGGGATGGTGCGGAGAGCAGCAAGCACGCCCTCGTCCTCAAGCAGGCGCGGGTTGTTGCTGATCTCGTGCATGACGCGCAGTCGCTCTTCAAGCGTCAGGCGCGGCAGCGCGGGAAACACATACGTGGTGTAGTACTCGCCCTCCTCCAGCGGGCGAATGCCAAGCCGCTCGTACAGCCGAGGGCACACGCCTGCCTTGGACTTGAGAAGCTGCGCATCGCCGAGGAACGCCGTCCACGCACGCGCCGGCAGCTCGCGTGGTGCCGTCAGGTGCGCAATGGAGATGAAGCGTGTGCTGCCGTTGTCCTCTGCATCATCATCATCCTCGCCATAGCCGTTGTTGTGGTCCGCGGAAGCTGCCAGTGTGCTGCCCCGCAAGCTCGACGAATCCGCGCTGTCGCGGTGACGGCTGGTGGAGGGCTGTGTATCACCTGCTCGCCTGCTGCCACCGGGGACAGGAGGGAGGCGTCTGTTGCGGCGGCCGGGCGCGAGTTGGTCGCGTGAGCGGCGCAGCTGTGCACCATGGGCTGACAATGACGAAGACGAGGATGACGACGAGGACCGGACGGAAGCGTCGGTCCCATTCGCGGTGCTGGGCCCGCCGTGTTGTTGCACATCGGTGGCTGTTTGCACCTCATCCACCTCGAAGAACGGCAGCGTCTTGAGCGCGCTCAAGTCCTCCTCTGTGAGGTCATCTGCGCCTTGCTCGCAGTAGCGAAGTATGCACGCCACATCCCTCGCACGCGGCTGTGAGAACGGGACAGCGGCAGCACCATCTTCACCTTCGACCACCGCGTGGACGGCACCTTGCTGCTGCTGCTGCTCTTGATACAGATGTGCGAGGATGGTGATGAGTGCCGACGGGCTGAGTGTCGGGAACGGAAGCTTGAGCACGTGCGTGTCCATGACGTCCTCCAACAGGAAACGCACGCCAAAGGTGGAGGCAATGGCACACAGGTGCGACATGGAATCCGAGAGAGCAATGTCGTCGCCCTCAGCGCTGCGCGGAAAGCGAAGTACACACGTGCGTGCAACGCGCACGGTTGCTAGATATTCTGGCGGTGCCACGAATGACGACTCGTGACTGTCACCGAGCAGCGCAGCGGCCGGCTCGCCGTTGTGCTTGTGTGCGCATGCAGGCACAACAGGGATGTCCTGTGCACAATACGTTTGCGTGTGCGCGTGTGTGTTTTGTGCGTACGAGGGTGTTGTGCGTGTTGTGTGTGTGAGTGTGTGTGTGTGTTTGTTTGTGTGGCGAGAACAACGTTGGCAGCTTCATATGGCATGAAGGAGCGCATGCAAACGTACGACCATCAACACGCATACCGAAGCACACAACTCAGGCGCGCACATATCCAAGCACACAACTCACGCGCACACACACACACACACACAAAAAAATGACGCGCGACACTCATACACACCTTGAATGTGTTGAGCACGGTGGCCGGTTCAATGTCCTGTTGCACCATCACAGCAAGCACCGCGTAGAATGCCTCCACCCACTCGCGTGACGGCGCAACAAACCGCGACGTGTCTACACTGGACTCCAACTGCGATGATGTGACAATGACACGACGGCGTGTGACAATGACATGAGTGTGTCGGTGGTGATGTTTGCATTAGAATGCATGTGCGTGGGCAACGAGAAATGGCCACCTGTCCAACATCAGTGAACAAGACAACAGGGCCAGAGTTGCCAGAGGGTCTCACGTCACTCGTCCATTCGATTGGAGCTGTGTTGCAGACGAGATGTGGCGGAAGGGAGCTGCTGATGAGGGTGTGCAGCGTTCCGGCACTCAACTTGCTCACAGCCAACTCTTGCCTTGTTGTTGATATGCACGGAAGCGAACGTGAGCGTGGACGAGCGTGATTGTGTGTGCGTGTGTGTGTGTGAATGCTTGTGTGTGAATGATTGTGTGAATGATTGTGTGAATGATTGTGTATGTGTATGTGTGTATGTATGTGTGTATGCACAAAGGTGCGTGCGGGTGGTGTATGAGTGTGCGCATGGGTGTGAACGTGTGGTGGATACACATGCGCCAGTCCAAACGCTGTTCACAACGCACAGGGTGTTGTCATCTGCTGCGTGAAGGAGGACGTTTGTGATGGCGGGGTGTGCAACAATCGTGCGCGCAACTGGCCCAAGCAGGCGATCCACATGCGGAGATGCAGACAGCAGGGCGTTTCCGTGCTCGGGATGGCACGCGACACCAAACTCCGCCAGCGTGCCATCGGCCTATGCGCGCAGACAACGACCGACACAAAATCGTGAGAACAGCCGTGAATGCATGTGGTCGGCTCATGTGGTCAACGAGTATTCCCATCATGCTCAAACAGCGTCACAATAAACCCACAAACGCACAAACGCACAAACGCACAAACGCACAAACGCACAAACTCACAACCAACCAGCCAACCAACCAACCAACCAACCAACCAACCAACCAATAAGCAAAACAACCCAGTCAACGAAACAAACCATGGCCAGGAGCGGGGTGCCGACAAGACAGTGAGGTCGCCGATGATTTGTTCGCTCGCTCAAGCAGTAGCGCACAATTGCAGCAATGCTCCTGCAGCAAAGTGCAGACGCAATCATGCAATGATCACCAGTGTGTGCATGTGCGCGCGCGTGTGGCGTGTTGTGCAGTACAAGCGTCAAAGATGGTGCGTTTCGACAATATGATTGACACGAGTTGATTAGTTGACCACACGAACACATCCGTAAGCGAACAACAACGCCAAGACAACAGTGTGTAACAACAAGCAAGCATTTCTCTGCATCTGCAAGAAAACGCACTCTGCGTTGTGTAGACTGGGCACGGGGGTGCTGTGCAGCGGTGTGCGGCGCTGAGGCAGGGCCACGCCGCGATAGAAGGCTGCAACGCTTGCTGGTGTGGTGGCGGTTGTGTCCAGCTTCGCCTTGCGAAAGTGCTCGCGAACAAAACCCGGCTGCACACGAGGAAAACCATCAACGGGTGAGAGAGGGGTGACACTTGTGCGGCGGGAGAGCCCACGCAACACACGCTCTGGGAGCAAGGTGTGTCCAAACACGGCATGTGATGCACTTCAAATACACACCACACACGCACACTCTGGCTGTATACATTCACGCACGCACACACGCACGCACGCACGCAAACAAGCATAACAAAAGTCACAACCACAGCAGCAGCTACAGCAGACTCACGGTGGAGGTGAGCGGAAAGCCATCTGCAGCGAGTGCGTGCACAACATTGCCAACGCAACGCAACTGGCGAATGATCACGCGTGCAATCATCCGAAACCGTTGCAGTGGCGGCAAACTTGTCGCTTCTGACAACGGTTCATGCATGCACACGCGCACAGACGCACAACAAAAAATGTGTGAAAAGGACAATCGCATCACGACAACAAGTGCATTCAGAAGTTGAAAGCGAACCGCACCACACAACATCCAGCGTATTTGTGGATGAGCGATCCCGCAAAGCCCACGCGCAGCTTTGGGTCACTGGCTCACACACTGTGCGCACATGTCAGCCCATCACAGATCACAGGACACCACGAGCATCTTACCTTCGAGCGAACGTGGTCGTCCGTCGAGGTGGTGGCCGTTGTTGACGACACCAGCGAGGAGCATGAGATGGGACCATCGCCGCCACGCAACACCCCGCCTGTCCCCGTTGAGATGAAGAAGATGGCTCGATGTGATGTCGTCAAACTCCACCTCGCTCGCCTGCTTCCACTGCTGCTGCTGCTGCTGCTGTGGTGGTGGTGGTTGTTGGTGGTGGTGTGCGGCGGCGCTGTGGGTGACAATGGAGAGCGTGTTGGAGGCGTACAGATGGATGGGATGGTGAGTTGCGTGAGTGCATGGAGGACAAAGAATACCCAAATACAAACAACGCACAGAAGGGGCATGCACACACACACACACACACACAAACACACACACACACACACAGCACGACACAGCACACCACAACACAGCACACCACAACACACACACACACACACATTGGCACGTACGGGTGCTGGGACAACGGCGAGCGCATGAGCATGCAGGAGGCGTTCTTGTGCATGTGTTTGTAAAAGGGACTGAGAACAAGTGACCACGGCTCCGCCAAAGGAGTGCTGTCGCTGCCTGGCCAGAGGGCGTAGTATGTGGCAGCGCTGAGCCCAAGCTCGCGCAGCTCAAGCAAGAGTTCTGCCCAGAGGTGGGCAAGCGTGTCCTGGATAAGCACGCGGTTGAAGTCGCTCATGCGCTTGTGTGACGCCGCCTGTGACGTCTGCAGTGCCTGCCGGTTGTCCATGAGACACCACCGAGCGTTGACGTGGACGGGGTAGCCCGTGCTCACCTCCGTAGGCAGGGTTGCAAAGGCTCGGCCTTGAAGCGGCAGCGGCGTTGTGTGCGCGTGTGCGCGTGCGCATGAGGAATGCGTGGGATCTGTGGGATCGTGGGTGCCGCTGGTGGTGTGGATGGTGGTGCTGATACGGGCGGCAACGCAGCCAATCGGCCACAGCGGTTTGTCTGTTGCTGACGTGGAGGCGTTGCAGCTGTAGCGGAAGGCCTTGTTCAGGCCGACGCCCTGGCGCAGCCACCATGATGTGGTGCACACGCGCTCCCCGTTCTCGTAGGTGTGAATGTTGTGCAAGATGCTTGAACGAGGCAATGTCTGCTTCGGCTTGTGAATGGACTTGAGAATGTCGGTTAGGGCGTGTGGGCATTCCTTCCACGGCTTTCCATGCTTCTGGGCCCATGCATCCAGCGATGTCTGCGTTGCACGGCGGACATGGAGGGTGAGTTTTCGCTTGTGCGAAAAGCATAACTGTGTGCAGTCTTGAGGTGTTTGTGGAAAAATGAAACCACACATAAGCACACATGCACACATACGTACACAAACATAGGCATGTACACACACGTACACACTCAAACACACATACACACACATACACACATACACGCACACACACGCACAAGCACGCACACAAGAGCGTGCATCAGTCATCAGTGCGCTTGCGCCCGTACCCGAAGCCACGTTGCAAGCTCTGCGCGCTTTTCGAGGTTTGCGCCCGTCGTTTCAACCTTGAACACACAGCTGCACGAAATCCGCCAAACACACAATGTTAGTTGTCTCGTCAAAACACTGCAAACACGTTTGCAATTGTGTGTGTGTATGTGTGGATGAGTGTTGTCGTGTCTGTTGAAGCAGTGTGCGAAAAACAGCAGGAACAAAGTGCATGTGAATACATGCATGGCACTGACGAGGGCTGCGAAGCTGAAGGGTCCCAAATCCACAGCTCAATGCACTCGACATGATGCAAGAAGAGCAACAGCTCGGCTGCCTGATTCATTGGATCATGACGCAGACGGCATAACCAGTCAGTCGGTGTGAGGGGCTCGGTGTCCGGCAATGATCGTCTGTTCAACTACGCGGTGCAGTGCTCACACACAAACAAACAAACATACATACAAACATACATACATACATACATACATACATACATACATACATACATACATACATACATACATACATACATACATACATACATACATACATACATACATACATACATACATACATACATACATACATACATACATACATACACTCACCTCCTTTTTGAACTCGGTGAAGAGGTGCAACACGTCATCGACGGTGTATGGGTTTCCCGGTCGCAACTCGCTCGTCTCGGCCTGGTCCTCTGTGCGAAGGGGAAATCGGAACAGCGTTCCGTTGAACCTGCCCGCATCACCGTCAAGATTGCACCCAAACTCCGGAACATTGAATGGTGCAAGCTGGTCCGATATGGCGCCACGATCCTCCGTCGGCAAGTGGACTTGAAGCCCGGGCTCATGCGCTGCCACCCAAGCATGCAGTTTTGTGTGTGTGTGTGTTTATGTGTGTATGTGTATGTGTGTATTTGTGTGTGTTTATGTGTGTAGGTGTATGTGCATACGTGTGTGTCTGTGTCTGTGTGTCTGTGTGTCTGTGTGTGTGCGTGTGTGTGTGTGTGTGTGTGTGTGTGTGTGTGTGCCTGTCTGTCTGTCTGTATCTGTGTTTGTGTGTCTGTGTACACATGTGGGTGTGGGTGTGGGTGTTTATAGTGCGTTGCAGGGATGACGAAAGGGTATGTGGCGCACATTGACCTCACCTCTGGAGAGGCCTGGGAGGAACTTGTACTGTGGATCAAGCATGACCTGTGAACACAACAAGATACAACACATGCGTCATCCTGTCAGCAATGCTCGTGACACACTCGCACGCACAAGTGTAAACGCAAGCACCCGCACATACACACAGGCACACACACACACACACACATAAGTAGCGCATAGTATGGCTTACCAAGTGCTCGCCCGAAACAAAGAGTGGGGCCTCTGTGAGGTGATACACCTGTCAACGAGTTGATGTTGTTTGATGTGACATGTTACACGCTGAAACATTGACACTTGTTGCGTGCGTAATGCTGGCAAGAGAGCATGCACAATGTGTCATGACAAGCTGATCACGGCCACGGTGTTCGTGCCATAGCATACCGAGTTGAAGCCGAGGCCAAACTTGCCCGTCTTGGTGGGATCAAAGCGCTTGCCACCCCGTCCAAACGCTCGCAGGCCGTCAAAGTCATCTGCTTTGAAGACGGCGGAATCAAACGCCTGGGTATGATTGCGCCAGGGTCAAGCAATCACAACACAGGCACATTGGATCAGCACATACCGCACGCGCATCACATACACGTAAGCGCATCACGTACTAGCACACACTCACACACTCAAACATTCACACACACACTCACACATCTCACGCACGCCCACGCACATCATGCATACACACACTCACACATCTCACGCACAACACCCACACACTCACACACCAGCAACGCGGGTCCTTGTAGGTCGTCCAGGCGATTGTGGGATCCGTCATGCTTCAGGAGCTTCTCGGTGCCGTGTGACCTGGCATCCAGCATGAATCCAACACGACGTGCGCCAGCATCGTCCGCCTGCGAATCACCAGCACCCATTCACCGGGCAGCAACATCAACCACTGTGTACAGCATCCCAAGCAGTCACACAGCAGCAGGTATCCACTTGCAAAGGACACCAAGACACAGCACGCACGTTCTGTGTCAGCTCTGCCAACGTTTGGTGGTCGGCATAGGCGTCCAGGTTTCGCGCAATCTCGTTGGCGATGGTCGTGTATTGACCAAAGAATCGTCGGCTACCTCCGTCGTCCATCGTTGTGGTGGGGTGTGGTGTGGTGTGGTGTGGTGTGGTGTGGTGTGGTGTGGTGTGGTGTGGTGTGGTGTGGTGTGGTGTGGTGTGGTGTGGTGTGGTGTGTATGTGTGTCTGTGTGTCTGTGTGTCGCAAGTGGGCGCTGTAGCTCTAGCTCTTGTCTCGCGTCGACACAACCGCAGGACACACCAAATCAACAGAGGGTGTGTGACTGTGAAGTGTGTCCGTCGTCGTGTTGCGGTCGCGGGATTCGTGAGTCATCAGCAGTTCCGCCCATATTTTTTCGCTGACTCAGCAATCCAGACCCCTCAAGGATTGGGGTGCCAGTGACGTCACGAGTTGAGGTTGCGGTTCCCCGCGTTCAGATGACGACATCTTTTGCACAACCGCGAAAGAAATCGTCCTCTGCGCCCAAGCCCACAGTAACCTCACAGTCAAGCTCGCCCACCTTTGTTTTTGGTGCTTGTTTGTTTGTTTGTTTGTTTGTTTTTTGCGTGTTGTTGTTGTTGTTGTTGTTGTTGTTTGCTTGCTGGTTTGCGATCAAAGCCAAGCAAGCCATGCTCCAAGCAAGCAAGCAAGTTTGTGTGGCTTGTGTGCTTGTTGACACTGTTGTCACATCATTCCCAACACAACAACACAACACGCAAAACAAACAACATCCAACGAACCCAGTTGCTAGAGTTGCTGGTGATCAACCCTTCTTGTCTCCTCACACTTGTCTCCACCTCCGTATCCGAAGACCTCGAAGACCCCTTCTATTCACACCCTCACTGGCAATTGCAATTGGAATCGCTCGAGCGAGCACCGCACTCGAGTGTGCACAAGGGGCATCGGTTGATTGCCCAAATAACCCATCATGGGTTTCCCCAAGTTGACAGGTGGGCGTATGCCAGCTGTCATCTCCGCTGTTGTGGTTGTTGTAACATTGACAGTGACATCGCCAACCGCAGCGACAGCCGAAGGCACCGCAGCCTCTGCAGGCTTTGCAGCTGAACACGACCAAGCATGGACGGGATCGTCGTCCTATTCGATCACCCCCAGCCAGCTGTCGTTTGGCGACTTCTTCTCCGTCGACGCCGCGACATTCTTCTCCACCATCTACCAGCAGGACACGTTTGTGGACAACACGGTTCGCCAGGCGCAGCTGCTGCCGGCGCTGGACCAGGTGGTTGCACCGCTCGGCGACGTCGATGCCCTCTGCCGCGCCTTTGAGAACCAAGACAAGCAGACTGGCGGCTTTCACGTGAGTGGATGTGTGGCTGTGGTTGTGTTCTTGTGGTTGGTTGTGGTTGTGGTTGTGGTGTGTGTGTGTGTGTGTGTGTGTGTGTGTTTGCATTGTTTGTGGTTGTGTGTGTGTGTGTGTGTTCTTTGTGTTTGTATTCTTTGTGCTTGTATTCTTTGCGGGTCTTGAGTACGTATGTGCCTGCTCTATCTCCTTCGTTCACTGTACACATCTCACAAACACCCCCTCTCCTTCCCCTCCCTCTCCCGTCGCACTCACTCCCCTCTCTG